ACTTTCAAGCCGGATGCAACAAACAACATAAAATAAATGCATAAAGTTGAAAATACTCTAAAAAGAAACACAGCAACAGCCAGACCATTCTTAGGCACATGGTATGTATGTTGCAAACCCATTTCTTTCCACAGAGCTCATTTCAAGTGGGACAAAGTTTTAGGATCCTTCATAAGAGTGGCAAAATTAGCATGGTAACCCTGCTAAGGTTAGCCTGCAGGCTATTTCATCTATATGTTTCTGAAGTCCACACAACAACTGACTAAAAGGGTGCAGGGGAAAGGTGTCTAGTATTTTTTTTTACCTGAAAACATCTGTCTGATAGGTGTCAGTGCCACAGAGAGTTAGTGTTGGGCTACTGAAGTTTATCTGATAATAATTCAATAGGATAACAAATATTTTAATCCAAGAAACAATCAAGATACCTCAAACGCATGCACCCCTGGACATGCTACATAAAATCATAGGACTGGAGAGGACCTCGCAAGGTCACCTAGTCCAGTCCCCTGCACCCATGGCAGGACTAAGTATTATCTAGACCAGTGGTTCTCAAACTTGGGCCACCGCTTGTTCAGGGAAAGCCCCTGGTGGGCTGGGCCGGTTTGTTTACCTGCCGCATCCGCAGGTTCGGCCGATTGCGGCTCCCATTGGCTGTGGTTACGCCGCTCCAGGCCAATGGGGGCTGCGGGAAGGGCGGCCAGCACATCCCTCAGCCCGCGCCGCTTCCCGCAGCCCCCATTGGCCTGGAGCAGCAAACCGCGGCCAGTGGGAGCCACGATCGGCCGAACCTGCGGACGCGGCAGGTAAACAAACCGGCCCGACCCGCCAGGGGCTTTCCCTCAACAAGCGGCGGCCCTAGCTTGAGAACCACTGATCTAGACCATCCCTGACGGGTGTTTGTCTGACCTGCACTTAAAATCTCCAATGGTGGAGATACCAGAACTTCCCTAGGCAATTTCTTGCAGTGCTTAACCACCTTGACAGTTAGGAAGTTTTTCCTAATGTCCAACCTAAACCAACTTGCTGCTATTTAAGCCCATTGCTTCTTGTCCTATTCTCAGAGGTTAAGGAGAACAATTTTTCTCCCTCCTCCTTGTAACAACCTTTTATGTACTTGAAAACTGTCATGCCGTCTCTCAGTCTTTTTTTCAAACTAAACAAACACAATATTTCCCAATCTTTCTTCACAGGTCATGTTTTCTAGTCCTTTAATCATTTTTGTTGCTCTTCTCTGGACTTTCTCCAGTTTGTCCACATCTTTCCTGAAATGTGGCGCCCAGAACTGGACACAATATTCCAGACTGAGGCCTAATTAGTGCAGAGTCGAGAGGAAGAATTACTTCTTGTGTTTTGCTTACAACACTCCTGCTAATACATCCCAGAGTGATGTTGGGGAATAAAGCAAACATTGTTACACTGTTCACTCATATTTAGCTTGTGATCTACTATGACCCCCCAGTTTCCCTTCTGCAGTACTCTTTCCTAGGCAGTAATTTCCCATTTTGTATGTGCAACTGATTGTCCTTTCTAAGTGGAGTACTTTGCATTTGTCCTTATTGAATTTCATCCTATTTACTTCAGACCATTTCGAACTGTATCCTATCCTCCAACTCCTCCCTTGCTACCCCTCCCAGCTTGATATCGCCCACAAACTTTATAAGTGTACTCTCTATGCCATTATCTAAATCACTGATGAAAATATTGAACAGAACCGGACCCAGAACTGATCCCTGTGGGACCCCACTTAATAGGTCCTTCCAGCTTGACTGTTAACTACAGATAACTACTCTCTGGGAACAGTTTTCCAACCAGTTATGCACTCACCTGATAGTAGCTACATCTAGGTTGTATTTCCCTAGTTCATGTTTAGGTACTTCATTGTGTTGCCTTTTTACTCCCATGTTGAGAGTGAAACTTACCAGAATACTGTTCTCTGAAGCAACAGCACACAATATTTCAGAAAAAATAATTAACATTTCTTTTTACTGCCAGGGCAAAGAAGCAAAAGCAGCACAGGGAACAGCAATAAAAGATGACACACAAAATCCAAAAGAGAATTCATCAAATAAAATGATTGGCAAACCTAAATTACTAATTCTTTCAGTGCCTCATGGACATACAATATATATCAAGCATTGTTTCTAAAGCCCAACTTCCACAGCTCATGTTCATGACACATTAAACCTGGGATTTCAACTTAAAGTTTGTATTTTGGGTGGGGCAAATTTATGTCCAGTAGCAGTCTCTCTTTAACCCCGTCTGAATTCTAGGGCCCGTCAACTCTAGCTAGTATGTAGTATGAACAAGGCCCCAGGCTTACCCTTTCATTTCCCAGAAGTGAGAAGATTGCTCAGCATCCTGAGCCATGCTCTATAATGCTAATTTCACCTGCTTTGAAAAGGGATCTGCAAACATTTTCAGGAGAGGCAGTTATATATTCATTCTAGCCTGCTCTAAGTCAAGTTTTATTGGCCCCTTGTAGACATAATGAGCCACAGTTAACTCAAGTACCAAAAACATTGTGCTCACATAGACTATAATATTTACCATGGTAGGTAAAACTTCAGACTCAGGGGATTCAAATCTGTTACAAGAGTGGAAATCCTGTATTTACTACCATTCCTACACTTCTGGGGACATGAACTGTTAAGAAAGTTTGCTTACTTCAGTTGCTGGAGAATGTATTCTGTAAGGGGGTGGGGTGGGGAGACTGAGAACAATTCTTGGTCATCTACAACAGTATATTCTTTTTATGTATCAATTTTGAAAGCACATTTAAGCTAAATTATAATTGTTCAAATCAAGGAAAAGAATTATAAATTTAAGTTTTATTTATAAATTTCACACACATCATCAGGCTAATTTTCATTTTAGTACTTAGATTTTTCTAAAATTTTTACAATTTAGTTATATTTCATCACTTAGGCTGCTTTTTTAGACTTTGCACTTCATTCAGTCTGGACAACTAAAATACAGCACTCAGTTTCACTTACTGGTTCTCCCACATTAACACAATGCTAGTAAATACTCAGCGTGTTCCTCAATAATGGAAGAATCTGACGGTGAACCTATATGAGGACTTTTTGGACAGTTCATCTAGTATCTCTGCAATTCCACCAGTACTAGCAACAGTGGCAATGCAGACTATACAAGCATTTTACCATACCATCTAAACTTGATTCAAGTAGGATCAGAGGATACTGTAAAAACACCTATGAAATGTCTACACCAGCATTTTTACAGGTGCTAGCACCACAGGTAGACAAGCAGTACAAGAGGTCCTAGTGTGTGCAAAGAGCAGATGTATAAGTTAAGACTCTGTAAAGGAACACATAAGTTAGTGAACAGATGTACAATTAAATACTGAATTATTTTCCAGCAACTTCATCTGAACACAAGACCTTTTTAAGCTATATTTGACTTTAAACCATAAAGATTTTAATCTCTGAACTACATCCCAATTTCTCTTCACTTACTAATTTCAATCTTCACTAATACATTTAGATAATTAAATCTTGAAATTGACCACTTCAGGGCTGTACTTGGCCAAAAAGGAGACAATACCAAAGTTATTTCTAAATGATATTTTAGTTATATGGCACATTCTGAATTTATCAAAGTTGTACCTATTATAAATCATAGAATTGTAGGACTGGAAGAGACCTCGAGAGGTCATCTAGCCCAGTCACCTGCACTCAAGGAAGGACTAAATATTATCTAGATCATCCCTGACAAGTGTTTGGAGATTTTTAAGAGCAGGTTAGGCAATGATGGAGATTCCACTACCTCCCTAGGCAATTTATTCCAGTGGTTAACTACCCTGACAGTTTGGCAGTTTTTCCTAATGTCCAACCTAAACTGCCTATGCTGCAATTTAAGCCCACTGTACTTCTTGTCCTATCCTCAGAGGTTAAGGACAACAATTTTTCTCCCTCCTCCTTGTAACAACCTTGTATGTATTTGAAAACTTATGTCCTCTCTCAGTCTTCTCTTCCCCAAACTAAACAAACCCAATTTTTTCAATCTTCCCTCATAGGTCATGTTTTCTAGACATTTAGTCATTTTCATTGCTCTTCTATCACAAAGAAGTTGTCAAAACCACAGAATCAGAGCCAGTGTGTACCCTGTATGGGGAGCAGTACCAAAGGACCAGGAATGTGCACATGTGGAAGAAAAAGTGCAAGCAGTCAGGGAAACTGAGGAGCACAGATACTTAACCAGAGGCTAGGTCTTCTTCCAATCTATTTAGTCCCACTTAGCCCACACTCGTCCCACTCCAGAGGAGGATTCTGCAGTACAGAGTATGGCCAGCCACTGTGCACGGAGTATGGCCATCCACTGTGATTGGATTAGGTAGTGACTGACATGAGACTAGCGGTCATTCAGGCAGCATAGTCCCCATCAGACAGCAGGGTCACCACACAGCCCACAACCTGAAGCAGCATTTTGGGGAGGAGGGGTGTGGAGAATACTTGGGACCAAATATTATTAAGAGGAAGGAGTATTGACCTCTTCAGCAACCCCGCAAAGCCCCAAACCCTACTGATGGAACAGACCCTCCTTGCTGCAACCACACCCCTACTACGGACCAGATATTACACTTCCCCTCACCCACAAAGGAACAGTATTCAGAGCCCCTCCTCTATAAACATACACACTCCACAGGGAACAGGTGTACAGGCCCTCCCACCCACACTTCCGGGTGTGCAGGGCCCGATCTACACACACACACACTCCCTCCCCCACAGGTATTCACAATCTCCCCCTCCATAAACACACACACACGGGACAGGTGTACACGGCCCCCGCTCCCCCCACACATACATACAGGGGATGGGCGTATGCCCCCCCACTTCCACACAGGGTGGGGGGTATTGAGGGTCCCGCCTCCATAAACACACACACACTCCCCCCTAGGGACGGCTGTACCACCCCGTGCTGCACCCGCCGCGCCGGGCACCAGGGGCGCGGCTGGCGGGCAGGCCCAGCCGGCTCCTCACCGTGTGCTCGTGCTCGTCGGCCCGGGCCCGCAACAGCAGCAGCGCGGCGGACGCCGCGCACAGCAGCAGCCTGGGCAGCTCCATCCTCCCCGCCGGCCTCCTCCGCGTCACCACCGCAAGCACCAGGCTACCCGCGAGCCGCCCTCGCTCTGCCCGGCCCGGACCCGGACCCGGACCCGACCCAGCCGCTGCCGACGAGACGCTGTTTCCGCTGCCCCAGCCACGTCATCCGGCCGCACACCGGAAGCGCTGCGCCTACGGTGGCTAACGGGAGCCAAACGTCAGCACGCGCGGCACCAGCGGCCTCCGCGGAACGCCCCCCGCGTGAGTCGCCTCCTCGCGGCACCCGAGGCAGCGAGCTGTGGGCACGGGGGGAGGGGCTGCCTCCAGCCCGTTCACGTGGGTGGAGCCATTGGGGGAGGGGCTGCCCCAGCCTGTGCATGAGGGGGAGCCATTGGGGATGACGGGGAGGTTGGCAGTGCCTCAGGTTACCCTATAAACACAACAGGAGCAGCCGCTTTGACCAGGCCTGGGCAGCATCTGGCCGTCCAGGCCCAAACGCTGGGATGGGGCTGCAGGTATAGGATAGGGCCCTTGCAATGGGGAGCAGGCCGGCCAGCCATGGTGGCCCCACAGTTATGGAAGTGGGGTCCTTGGAGTAGTGTCCATCCCCACTCCCAGCCTGAGCAGTTCCTTGGGGATGGGTAAGCCTGCCAGCCACACTCTGGCTCTCACTAGCCTTGGTTACTACTGCAGGGTGACCCCAATACACTCTGAGCCCCAGATTTCCCCCCCCCCAAAAAAAATTACTTCCTGTGCATTGGGTCACAGCTGGCAATTTCATCAAATGTCCCTTATTCTTGTGTTGAGAGAAAGGAAGAACACCATTGTTTATACTTTTATCAGGTCCCCTCTTATTCACCTCCTTTCTAAGGTAATCAGTCAATCTCTTCAGTCTCCCCTCGTGAGTGTTTTCCATGCCCCTAGTTATTCCCATTACCTTTCTCTGCACCCTCTCAAATTCTACATGATCATTTATGAGCTGGGGTGACCAGGGCTGCACACATAGAGTTGAAGGTATACTATTGCATTATATTATGACCTTTTCCATAATATTTGCTATCTCATTCCTGTTGAATCTTAACATCTGCTGTGATTTTTTTTTTTTGACTGCAGCTGCACACTAAGCCAAAATCTTTGTTGAGCTGTCAATAATGACAACACAATCACTTCATGTGATCAGATATGCGTAAACTATTTTCCCCTCTATTATGCATAACTTTGCATTTATCTATTCTGAATTTCATCAGCCACCATGTTGCCGATGCATATAGGTTGGTTAAGTCCCTCTGAAATTCTTCAGTCTTCTGTGGGCTTTCCTACCAGAAATTTGTTTTTTTATAAGCTTTTGGAGCTTATTAAAAACGATGGGAAAAGTCACAAAGAACTTTAGTGACTAGCGGGAATTAAGGTAGAAAGTGTGTGGGCTAAGACAGTCCAGCTAAACAAAGGTTTCAGAGTAGCAGCCGTGTTAGTCTGTATCCGCAAAAAGAAACTAAAAAGAAACAGCTAAACAAAGTGCACTTTATAAACATAATTCTACACTTTGATAAACCCCAAAACATTACGTCAACTGTTCATTTCCTGCAAATCTATATCTAAGCCAAGTCCTAAGGCAAATCTAAATGTGGACAGGTGTGACACTCTGTACCTCGGGGGAACACCCTGCACCCCCGTGTTCATCCTTATCATATGATTGTGTGGTATCCAATGCAAAGTTTGTCATATCGGGTGTCTTCTGAAGGCTCATGATGCACTGAGCATTGTTGTTATAGTAATGTTATAGGTTGTAATTTCATATATATAATTATGAGGCTGAAAATGTGTCCTCATGGCTTAAAACAAGCCCAGGCAAAACTCTCCAGGAGCAGAGAGGCAGTTCACACCTCATCAGGACATGTATGGGACAAACCCAGCCCAGCCTGACAGGAACAAAGGACACTGGCCTAGGCAGCAACACAGGATCTGTTGGACTCTCGAGTGAGTCACCCCAGTTTCCTTGGTCAGTTTGGAACTATGATGAGGTAATGCTCACCTGACTCTGAAGGGTGGGGCCAAAGCCAAGAGGGAAGAAAGAACATGATAAAAAGGGAGACATGTTTGCCATGCTCTCTCACGTCCACCTCCATCTATAGACACCACCTCCAAACGACTAAAGCACTGATCAAAGGGGAGAGCCTGGTTGAAGGGTAACCAGCCAGCCTGTGGTCAGAAGCATATAAGTTTGTAAGGGCACTGAAAGTGTTAAGATCAGCTTAGAATGTGTTTTGTTTTTATTTCATTTGACCAAATCTAACTTCTTGTGCTTTGACTTATAATCATGTAAAATCTATCTTTTAAATTTGTTTGTTTATTCTACCTGAAGCAATGCGATTGAAGTGTGTCAGAGACTCCTCTTGGGATAACAAGCCTGGTACATATCAATTTCTTTGTTAAATTGACGAACTCATATAAGCTTGCAGCATCCAGTGGGCATAACTGAACACATGGATGGAGGTTCCTAGGGTTGTGTCTGGGACCGAAGATATTGGCTAGTGTCATTCGGTCGCACAAGCCAAGCAGCAGCTGGCCAAAAGTGCTCACTCACGTAGCTGGGAGCAGCTTACATGCCAGAGGCTGTGCATGAACAGCCCAGGAGTGGGGGTTCTCACAGCAGAGCAGGGTAAGGCTGGCTCCCAGAGTCAAGGATTTGAGTAACCTAACAGATCACCTGTCCAGATAACACCAGGGGAAGGTCACAACAGGACAGTAAGCAATCATATTATAAATATTCCATTTCTTAGTCAAGGTCCTTCTGTTAGGTTTCTGTGCAGCACAGAGTAAAGAAATAAAATAAAAAAACACCCAAAGGCTATAGAGAACCCAGCTCATTACTCCCAATTCTTGTGCTGCAGTTACTGGATCGGCATTCTCTGCACCTATTAGTGACTGAAGATCCTTTCCACTGCCAATTCAGTTCAGCTTGGAGATTGGAATCCATTGTGGAGTGTTTAATTCTGCACTAGCTGAAAGAAAACCCCAGTTGGGGTTGCTAGGAGTACTTTCAAGCTGCTAACCAGGCATGTCCTTGTTCACATCCAAACCACTCTCAGTGGAAAATTTATTTTGAAGTAGTTTAGGACCATGGCACAAGGAGAGGACAATATTAATTTCAAAGCTAAACACAAAAGCAAATATAGGACAGAGTTGGCACTCTCCAAAGCACTGGTGCTTGGAGACATAAGATGCCCAGGAAATCACTTTGTCAAACAAGGCAGGCATGTTTACACAAACATGTGTGTGAAAAGTTAACACACACAGCTGTTAAAGGAAGTGTCCTGCTCCTACTGCTTGTCCTAATCATGAGTACAAAGCCCTGCTCACACTGTGTGTTGCTGAGGGTGGGATATGGCAAGACCCAATCCTCTCCCCATAATAACCTACAGAGACCCATTAAAGCCTTTTAAGCATAACATTCACTTTGGGGAGGGAAAATGGAGACTTGTGGGGGCGTTCTTCCAGCACCTCCATTTGGAATAGTCTATCGGCCACTTAACAGTACATGTACTGTTAAGTGGCCGATAGACTATTCCAAAGTAGTATTGTGACGGCAAAGCAATTTTGTTTTGCTGGCACATAAAAATGAAAATCTAGTAGTTAAAAATTACCACTTAAAGTGCTGCAAAGTGGTGGCCATAAGCGCTGGCAACTAAACATGAACATTTTCTCTTTCAAGAAGCAAAACCTTAATTTCCAGGGATTGCCTGCTACCATCACAGACTCAGTGCAGCTCAAGAGCTAGGGAACAGTGGGGTTCCAAAGAATGACAAAGCCAGGTATGCAAGATGCAGAAATCTGGTGCAAGCGTAACTATGACTCCATCCTGTCTGTGCACCATGTGCTCCTTCCGATGCAATGTGCAAACAGCACTTTAACCTAATCACACTGAGACCCAGTTAAAGTATTTTGCCCACAACTCCGCCTCCTCAATTGGTGGTGGGAGAACACACGTTGATCTTTGTTTCACCTTTTCCATCCAATACTCGCCAAACAGTAAGAGCCAGCACACAAACTATAATGTAGCTCTCTCTTCCAAATTATCACTGAAACTCAGATGCAGGTTTGTATAACCTTCTGTACGTGGCCCAAATGCTTTGGTCTGCCTTTTCAGGGCTGGGGTGGAGTAGTGAGAGCCCTGATAGCTCATTAACAAGTGCTCCAGAATCTAAGCTTCAATTTTGCAACAAGGGATGGATTCTGAGGCAAATTCCGCAGCCAAAATAGGGGCATCCCCCTGAGGGAAGGGTTTGACCCTGGGCTGCATTAGCAACACCAGTTCAAGCTGTTCAAGGCAATCTGAGTTAAAGCCATTGTGTACATTTGAGGTGCTAAGTAATTTGGCAGAGTTCTGAAACAGTGGAGAGTGCTCCAGAGTATGACTGTGAGGGCCCAGCACTGAAATAGAAGGGTGTCATGAATGGAGGTTGAGATTGAGGTGCACATTAGAAAAGCTATCTGGAAGCCAGGACTTGAACAGGGGGAATGCAGGGTTCATATGCTTTGGAAGAAACATGCATGTGTCCCTCCTGCTACTACACACTTTCATAAGCACTAAAAGTCACATCAGCCTTTACAGATACTGACAGATATTCTACACCCAATATTTCTGGGAGCATTTTAGAAAACCTAACGACAAGCCAATGTTTTCTTGCCATTGAAAAATACCATGGAAAAAGTTGCAGTATCACTTCACATGTTTCTACAGTATTGGAAATCTGAACAGTAGTGCCCGATTAAGTATGAGAGAATCAGGAGGTGAGCCTGACTCAGCAAAATTACATTCCAAGATAATGGAAATCCAGAAGAAGTATGTTCGTTGCACATAAAATATGGCAGTAAAATGTGACTTGACTGAAGCACATTTATAAAAAAAATAACCCCCATTTTAATCAGTAAAATGATTTTTGTACATTTAAATTATTTGAGTAAAATTTGCCATTGAGCTAATTTTCTGCTGCAGAAGAATGTAAAAAATTTTGACCGAATCATCAAGAGTATGTTGTGCAAACATGTAGTAGGTGCACAAACATCCCAATCTACATGTGAAGTATGCAAACATCCTGGTGTACGTGCACAATTTGAGTGCCAAAATTATGCCTGTGTGGTATGCATGCAGTTATGAAGACTGAGTTAAGGTTGTACTCAAACTGAAGAGACTGGTAAGTTTATATTGTCAGTAATTGGAAGTTTATTCTGCAAAATTTAGACATATTTTTAAAAATATCCCAAACAAGTTACAGTTAGAAGTAAAAAACACAGCATTAAGCATCAGTTGATCAAATAATAAACAGAAGGCATATAAAAGCAATTTTCATAAGCTAGCGATAACATACCTTTCCCAAAAGGCAAACAGCATACATCATCCGCTTGTCACCAAATATTGCACAATGCCAAAAAATAAATAAATACACACATTCAGATCTTAGAAAAAGTCAACTGAACATGAAAGATCCTTCATACTTTATGTTATATGGATTGATTAGGGCTGATTACAGTTACTTCCCCCATTTTTGTGCGACTGGCAAAAGCCACAGTCTGATCTTTTCTCATTGCAGCCTTAGGCATTGATTTTATGTTCTCTTCAGAATTGTAGCAAACTATGTTTTGCTTCAAACTTTCATAAGATGGGCAGAGCTCATGGGGGATGAGCCTGCATCCACTGAAGTCCCTGGCTAAATCTTCCACTGACATCAGTAGAATCAGGATTGGGCCCGTTGAGCGGTTTTTGACAAACATTTCTGTCCAAACAGCTTTATGTTTACTTTTTCAAAACAGGGTGTTGGAGAAAGATACAGTTTGGGCTGAAGAAACTCAAGATCCCCCACATCACTCAGTCAGTGCATCCCAGTCCAGATTTGGACTGCCTGCCTCTTGAGAACGAGCGGAGAGTTCAGTCTCCACAGTTTGTTGGCAGACAGACTTAGAACTGAATAACAGGGCAAGGTAGTCTCATCTGCTCTGGTGGGTTTTGTATGCACACTGGACTGAGAGCAAACACATTTCACTGACCAGCCATCACATGGTCACTGCTGACCCAGCCTCACTTGAATCAGTGTTTTGGAGGTGAAAGACCATTACCAGTGGTCTCCCTGGGTTTTCATCTTAAAACAGGAACTTTTTTTTAATGCTTCAATTACAAACTTAATTACAAAGCAACAGAGGGTCCTGTGGCACCTTTGAGACTAACAGAGGTACTGGGAGCATAAGCTTTCGTGGGTAAGAACCTCACTTCTTCAGATGCCTCACGTCTTGCATCTGAAGAAGTGAGGTTCTTACCCACGAAAGCTTATGCTCCCAGTACCTCTGTTAGTCTCAAAGGTGCCACAGGACCCTCTGTTGCTTTTTACAGATTCAGACTAACACGGCTACCCCTCTGATACTTAATTACAAAGCGTTTCTTCTTCCTCTCTTTTCTCTTTTCCTACTATTTCAGCACACTTTGTTGCTTAGGCAGAGACAATATGCATTATACGTTCATCCAACACAAGAGCCTAAAGATGAAAGAAGACTGTTAAAGCACTGAGCCCTAAATAGTTTTTAATGACCAGCTGCAAACTAGTCAGGGCGAACTGAGGGCCAAATCTTGCATCCAATAAGGTGTGCTCAGGTTTTAAGACACCCCAGTTTGCCCGGGGTTTGAAAGCCATGCCCAATTCCCCTGTTGACATGAATCAAGCATACGAAGCCATGATACCTTCTGCTCTGCTTTTCTTGATATACTAAAAACAGTTCCTTGTTCTAGACTGCCAGGCATACAGACCTGCAGCTGATCTGCTTTGTCCTCCCAAGGGCAGAGTTACAGAGAGAATATCACCAGGGGCTGCATTTGGCTCTAGCGACATAGCGGCACACCTGCACTAGACTGTAGGGTGACATGTGTTTCCTCAGAGTGTAAGTGGGGCCTGAACAGACCATGTTTGTAATGAACCTTGATGCCACTTCCCAGCTGTGGTCTCTCTCAAAGCAGCATAGTGCACAATAGGCTTTGGAAAGTACAGAAGAACGCAACGGACACTTGTTTAAATGGACAGTTTGGCATGAGGGAAGTTCTGAGCAGCAAAAGAGGGAGGCTGGCTGGGCAGAGATGTGAGGGTTGTTTTTAGATGCCAGTTAAGCAGCTGAAACAAGGGAGGCGCAGCTCACTGCTGAGCCCAACCATAAAGTCTTAATCAATCCAGTGAAATTCCACCACAGATATGCCACCAGAACATGTCCCTCTGACCAAACTCACATTAGAGGAAACCTGTGTGACTAGGGTGACCAGACAGCAAGTGTGAAAAATCGGGACGGGTTTGGGGGGGTAATAGGAGCTTATATAAGAAAAAGACTCCAAAATCGAGACTGTCCCTATAAAATCGGGACATCTGGTCACCCTATGTGTGACAGTCTCCTCTAGTGGTGCAGAGTCAGAGTTACCCAGGGTTGAATGGACAGAGTGCAGGCAGTCACTCCCCCTTGCCCCCCGCCTGCATGCCTGCTTTAACACAGGGGTTCTCAAACTTCATTGCACCCCGACCCCCTTCTGACAACAAAAATTACTACATGACCCCGGCGGACAGGGGGACTGAAGCCTGACCCTACCCAAGCCACCCAAGGGCTTCAGGAGCAGGCAGGGGGCCTGTAACCTGAGCCCCACCACCCAGGGCTGAAGCCCTCGGGCTTCGGGCCCAGGTGGTGGGTCTAGGGCTTCAGCCCCAGACCCCAGCAAGTCTAAGCCAACTCTGGCGACTCCATTAAAAGGGGGTTGCAACCCATTTTGGGGTTCCGACCCACATTTTGAGAACCACTGCAAGTTTAACATACACTGGCTACGGGTTTATCTGGAAAGGAAATGTTCTGAAATTGGGAGAGGGGCATCTTCATGCTTTGCTCTTTTCCTTCTGCCCCACATTCCTCAGTTCTTATACCCTGGGAGATAGGAAAGCAGTTAATTCCTGCAATGCTGCAGCACAGAACTGACCTTAGGGGCAGAGCACGAGAGAGCTACAGAGGCAAAGGGGCCCATGAGCTGCTGGTTGCACAGGGCTAAACCGAAGGGCAGAACCCACCAAGATGTGTGCAAAGTAAAACAGAAGTGAGCACTGAACAGGATTTGGCCCCTGAATTAACTCTCCTCTTCAGTTTTATTTCCTTTAACTCATTCCTTTCATTTGTAGTTTCATTTTCTCCTCGATTAGGTGAAGAAACTTTTTTCAGTTCAATGGAAAAGTGCTGGGGACTGCGCCCGCTAGGGAAAGGGACACAAACCCAACTCCTGCTCTCTGGATCTCAACCCTTCCCCCCGACTAAAGCGAGTCACCAGCAAGCTACGGCAAGCCAGCATTCAGAGCCTGTAGTGTTCTGAGTAACACCTGGTTAGTGGAGGAGAACACTCATGTACTTTTAAAGGAGCATCCATGGTGCTTGCTTGCAGTGTCATTGTAGCCTTGTGGGTCGCAGGATATGAGAGAGATGAGGAGGGTGAGGTAATATTGTTTATTGGAGCAGCTTCTGATGGTGGAAGGGACGAGCTTCTGAGCCACATAGAGCTGCACTGAAAAGAGAGTTTGCACTTGATTGTGAACTGAAGATGCATTTCACAAGTGCCACCCTGAACTGTTTGAATGACCCACATCTCTACAAAGCAACAGTAGGGGACACCCCGTGGATTACTTCTTCAGCAACTCCCTCCACTGGCCACTTGCTGTATTGCAAGGGATGGGGAGCTGCAACTCTGGTTGCTCTGTTGCCTGCTTACCTGAGCTCTCTCTGAGCCTAGAGGGCTGGGTTCAGCTAAAAAGGGATGGCTCCTCTCCCCCACACAGCTACCACAGGGAGGGAAGGGAAAAGAGAAGCTGAGAACCAACAAGTTATTGTTACCCAATTCTCTACCCTGGGCAGGGGCAGAGTAGCCTCTAACTTGTGCCAGCCATCAAAGGTCCCCTGTGAGCCATGTCAGCCAGGGATTGCTGGAGCTCCATGTTCTCCTCACCCCAGGCCTGAAAGCCAGCTACCCCAACTCTCTGTGATGAGGACTTAGCAATGGTTTTTGCTCCTTGTGCCATCTGAGTGGCACAAGGGGGAGCAGAACTAAGAAGCCCTTTGACCTTTTTGAAAACACACAGCCCTCAGGTGGATTTGGTTGGACACGGCTGCTGTAGGTGCAGTTTTGCTAAACAGGATGCTTAGGGCAAACAAAACCCAACCACTGAACGGGATGTCTGTGCCCAGTGAAGTAAGCAACAATTAAATCCATATTTGAGCCACAAAATACATACACCTTATCAACACACGCTATTACAAAGCATAAACAGCCTTAACACAGATATGATACTCAAATGTGTACAGGGAAGGGGGAAGGTCAAAGGACTGCTAAAAATTTCTTCCCCTAATACAAGAGGTCAGCTATTTGGATTTAAAGTAACAAGGCCCCTAGAAAGCATCTATATAGAGCTGTTTCATGTGACAGAGCAATTCCCTCACCAGCTGTTAGGGAGTCTTGCATCCAATGCAGTGTATATAGCACCTCGCTAGTGTCTTTCCCCATCCAAAGACAATGGGGTGGGCAGAGAAAAGGGCTGTATAAAAACGACTTTTGCTTGAATATGGAAGTCTTCACAAAGCCCTTTTTGCAAAACCATCATGTCCAATAACTATTAAAGGAAGATCCGTTACAGGAGATTTGGTGGGAACGAGCCAGTGTCCAAATGTTACACCACCAAACTACTGAGATCCACTCTTCCGATGCAGCTCATGATGAGCATTCTTTGAAGACAGACTCTGAAAGGAGCTTTTAAAAAATATATATATATTTTTTACATTTTCCAGTGACTCTCTTTAGTTGTTTTTACAACTCTCTGAGTGTAGGGTTCCAATGAGGACAGCATGTTCTTGGTGGGAGGCGTAACCCCATATGAGGTGTAAGACAGTCAGAAGACTCATCCAAATTCTCTTTGCCACCTTGGATAGTTTTTCCTTAAAATCTAGAAGTCCCAAGACACTCCAAGAAAAAAAAAGTCACAAAAGGCTGGGAGATTTCTCAGTGAAATGTTACTACAAAATGCACCAGAGCTGGGGGGGCAGGGAGGGGGAAATCATCTGGCTTCCATCTATAAATAGTAAAAAAGATCCTTTAAAATGTGTCTGTGTATATATATATATATATATATATATATCTGTACACATACACACTAGAATATCCCATATTCCAATGATCTCAGGATTCAGCGACCTCGTGGGGGCACAGGTGGAGGAAAAAAGTTTTCGCTGCTTACAGGCCTGCAACAAGACACAGAAGCATATTAGAAACAGAGAACGGGTTTGTAACAACATTCTATTTAGTGTAAGAATGAAATGTTCTTGATATTTAAGTTTGCATAAGAAGGGCAGAGTCTTATGCATTTAAGTTTACATAAGAAGGTGAGCAGGAACTGGCAATCAGTATTTCATCAACGGAGATGGGAATAGAACCCAAGAGTCCTGTGTAATGCTGGACAAATCACTTTAATCTCTCTGTCTTGGTTCTTTCATCTATAAATGGCTACAACAGTATAGTAGCTGCCTGCCTCATAGGGCTGTTGGAAGATTTAATGTTTGTAGAATTCTGTGTTATACTAACACTCTGAACTTGCAGAATCTTTCTTCTGAGGCTCTGAGAATGAGAGAAAGGGGAGGGATATGGCCGGTAGCTGCAAGCTTCAAAAGCTGATTCACACCTGCTTTAGGGGGTTTAGTTATACAGTTGCAAGAGCCAAGGAAACATGGAATTCACTACTTCTGGACATGGCTGACAACTGTATCTGGACTTATTGTAACAGCTGGAGAAGTTTATTAACCTCTGTAGTTATACAAGCTAGGATTCTAAAGCCTGGATTACACAGAGTGGCACTGGTTTAATTAAAGGGATTTTGTTTTAACTGAGTTTGCAGCAATGTTAAAACACACCTTTAGTTAAGCTAGTGCAGCTTTGGGGCTGAGAAAAGTCCTAAAGGTAAACAAATCTACTTCCGAGTGTAAAAACAGATTGCCCAGTGGGAGGGAGTTCCCCCCATATACAGCATTGCCTGTGGGTGTATTGTGAGGGGTTCTTCTCCAAAGGATCATGTATTGAACCTCTGCCAAAGGCATGATACTGGATTAGATGGATCAATCTAATTCAGCATGGCAAACACCATGTTCCAGTAACACAGTACCTTTTAGCATGTAAACCGTACTAATAGGATTGCCAGTCAGATTACTAACCAGGAAAATTAATTCCACTAAGTACTATGTGAATGTAAAATGGATTCCAGAATTTACACAAGATTTGTTTATTTTGTTAACAGCCTTGTCATTCTGGTGAAAGGGATGCATTACATCTGCAGCCTTCTAGCTGTTTGCATTGTGCTACAAACACCAACCCCTCAGACACTTGTGTTCAAGCTCAAATTACATGCTTTACCTGCTTGCACCTCGGGGAGGTATTCTCGGAGGCCTTTCAGGTAGCGTGAGGGGAAACCTCTCCACTTGCTGGGGTATTGGGCTGCGGCTTCTGGTAGCTTCCAGGATTTCATTATCCTACAAAAAGGAAAGACAGAAGGGGGAGTGAAGTTTTGCCAAAACATCCATAATACACTAGTATCTCAGATCCTCGAAAGGCTCTCCCTCAAATAAGCATATTTCCTTCAGTGTCATTATGGGAGCATAACCACTTGGCTGGATAAGTCAGTGTATGAAGATCCACTTACAATATGACCAAGAATACAGTTAGATGAACTATGAATAATATCCTGCCCAGGAGGTGTGCTAGGGGCCTTGTGGAACAGATCATTAGGAAAGGCTCCTGCCTCAGAGAGATTGCAAATAGACTATAGACATGAGGGCAAGACAGAAGGGGAAGAATTGGGCTACAGGGTTACATACATAGAGTTGTGAGGAGGATCTTTAGCAACCACATTTTAAAGTCATTTGTTTCTCGTATATTTCACAGCAGAAGTGGGTTTTGTTTGATTTAAAGCATTTGGCTTTTTTGCCATTCATGCATTTTCAAGGGAAATATTTAAGAAGCCATTTAAAAACTAATGCAAAAACCAGACCCAGGTTTGTCATGAAGCAAACAGACAGCATAGGATAAAGATGAAGGCTTACCTCGTTGTCACCTTCCATCCCACTACTGACACTCAATGTACTTCGAGTACTCGATCGGTTACTGGCACTACCTAGTTAGAAGACAAGAGACAAGTGCGTCATTAAATCTTGTCAATTTCTAGAGATATTAGCAACACAGAAGTCATTCTGAGCTCCTATTTACCTCTTAATGCCTATTACTTAACACTCATTTTAATAAACTCACTTACATTTTAATGCTTCCTTCAGCCCTCCACTCGCAATCATTTGCATTTCACTCAGCTTGGGCAGCAAAATCGGGCTCATTTACCTCACTTTGTTCTTAGCAAGTTTCTCACGCAAAGCCCTGCACTGGGGTTTTCAACACCATATTTCATTGAAAGTTTGTGACTCTGACACTGGCTTATTTTCACATTGGATACACACCTTATTTTCATGCGTATTTAAATTGACACTCCCATGGCAGTTCCATTAGTTACACTGACGTAGCAGTATCTAGATGTCTATGCAGTATTGGCATAATACGCTACAAGATTAGAAAGCTCAAGAATCTTCTTTAAACCAAATGGGGTGTTTAGAGGTCCCCAGAGCCCCCACATTTAAACATAATGGCACTGGAGCTAGGGCTAGTCCATTTGCCACAGGAGGAACTTCCAGCTTTTGGAGAGCTGCCCAGGCCCAGCTGGTATGAATGGATGGCACCTTCAGAGATCCCCACCCTCCCTCCCAACACAGTTCTGGGAGAGCCAGCCCACTCTTCGAGGAACCAGGACCACAGCCAGATTGTGCTGGGGTAGGTGGTAGCTAGGTTGGAGGAACCCCTATAAAATTGGTACCCTGCCTAACTCCCATCTCGTATAATGATCTATACACGAGTCATTGGCCAGCCCACCACAGTTGGCCTCCACCCCAGAGATGTGCCAAACACACCCAGCCAAGGCGACAGTGGCAACCTGCTGGGGCCCAGTTCTGCCTTCCCAGGCAGCGAATAACCCCTGCTGATTTCTATCAGAGTTACTCAGCCTGCAGTGAAAATCAGGAGCTACATGCATCATTTGCATGAAATGGAGCAGATTACAAGCAAACTTCAATAATATATTCAAGCATGTCTGAGTCACTGAGGAGCCCAAGTTCCATTGGCTATCACTTCTGAAAGCGTGAACCCTTATCTATAATAGCAAAGGGAATCGCCCATAGAGACTCCTGGGTGTTCAGTTCCCTGCATGCAGTGTTCCTAGGCTCTGCAAATCAAGTTGGTGCACTGCATGCTGAGAAATTGGGAATTGTAGCCAGGGGCCAATTTCCTTCCTATTTAAAGCAGCTGCTACTGAAGTCACTGGGAGGTGTGTTTTTGACTTCAATGGGAGTAGGATCAGACTGACGCATTCCGGGGCTAATGCTGCAGTGTTTGCCTTTGAGAGTTCTGAGGGCTAACTTTGCTCCTGCTGATTCCAAAGGCAGGCAGAGGAGATGATTTCAGGCCAGCTTTCCTGTATGGGATGCCTGAGATGCATGGCTTGCTTACTTGCAGTGCTAGAGGTGCTTTCTGTTTTCCACTCTCCTCGCTTTATCTCCTTTCTTGGTGGGAAAACAGTTTTCCTGGGGCCAAATTCATAAATGCCACACTCCAGTTTCCCGGGAGCATTGTGAGACGGTCGTATAGGCACCGTGATTTCCAAGTCTAGAAAGGAAAATAGCCATGAACAAGTCAGTGGCAGCCTATCTCAGGTACTACAGGCTACTTATACTTGAAACAGAGGATTAAACATGAATTACTCAAGCACTGATTCCCACAGGGGCTTTGCTTCCATTGCTCAATTTCCATCAACATTCAGATGGACTGGGCGGATCGACCACACTGCTACTGCTTGCAAAGGGAAGGTCACAGGACTGAGTCATATTAATCTGGTTTAGTGCAAACAGAGGACACTTATCCACAGGAGCATCCCCATTGATGATTAGCAGACACAACCACCTCTGGGCTGGAGCAACATTTAGCGTTACTATTCTCTATGAACAAAAGAAATGCACCCATTGGAATGACTCAGTTAACACTTGGCTCCTCCAGTTCTCTTGCCCAGCTGTAGCAGTAGGTAGAGCAGCCGAAGGGTTGATGTTAAGGTTCTCATGCCCTATTCCCGACTGCCACTAACTTGCTGGGTGCCCCTGGGCGAGTCAGTAAATCGCTCTGCTCAGGGACGTGATGTCGTTGCTGCAGACAGGAAGAGCTGAGGAGATGAAGGAGTCAGCACTTGTAAAGCTCTTAGCCCACGAGAAGCACAACAGGAACGGTAAGGGGTGGGGAGGCTAGAGGCTATGGGCCGTGTACATGCGTCTACTACTTCAGCTCCACTCCTGCCTGTCAGACAACCTGTCAGAATCAACTTTTTACCATAGTTGGCCTTCCTAGTCTCCAAAATGGAACAGACAGAAGATCCAAGAGTCCAGATCCAGTAAGATCACACAGGGCAGCCCAGGCGCTGACCCAAACCTTTCCCTCACTCAAGCCAAGGGGGAACCATGCTGCCAAGGAGCTGTGTGGCCCAACCTCAGAATGAGGAAGCCTGCAGGGTGGGAGGTTGCTGAGCACTAGGACAGCCTGAGTCTAAGGAGGAGGTGGTCAATGTACTGCACTAGCCTGGAGGCTAGGGGGTTTAGGCACCACCTAACTGAAGCTGTGGGAGAAGAGATCCCCCTCTTACACCTCACCAGCAGCAGTCCCACTTCTTAGTAAGACATGAGCAAGGCCCCAAGAGCGCAAAGCCTTCCCCAGCCCCACTGAGCTGGGGCGGGTCTCTGCAGCCATCCGAGTCAGCTGCAGACATCTTGGAAGGGGCAACAGAGGGCTACCAGCGCTGGAACAGAGTCTTCAGCCCAGTGGCACTTTGCTGCCCCATCCCCACTCTTCCCCACACTCCCCTGGCAGCTCCAGGCATGTGACTGTAGCAGCCTCTTGTAGGGGCAGCATTTCTCCAGAAGGTCTATGGGGGCAGGCAGTGTCAGCAGCCAGGCAGAGCTCTTTCAGGGACCCTGCAGATCCTTCCACACCAGCCTAACTGTCCAGAACCTTGGGCAGACCAGCACAGAGCTCCTCATCCACAGGAGTAAGGGGCCTACATGAAGGGGAAGGAATGGGCTCTGAACGCTCAATCTTTAGAAGGCTTGTAGCTTCCAGGGCAGCTAGTTCCACCAGTGCATAGTATGATCTCTCCTGCCCCCAAGATCTCTTGTATCAGGAAACAGTTACAGGACCAGGTGCTTGGCCCTTCAGTACAGCCTTTGATCCAGTACAGGATCTCCAGGGGCTTCCATTCATGGCTTAAGACTCACCCCTGGAGATGGGTAGCATCCTCATTTACAGACAGGGAAACTGAGGCACAGGCAGTTAAGTAGTTTGCCCACGTTTTAACTGCTGATATATCATACAGATGTGTATTTTATGTGTATATATTACACACAGATGAGTATATTAATATATTACACAGAGTTAATAAAATACATGCAGACAAGTTCCAGCGTACAAAGCCCACGCAGATGAGTGCGGGATTGGCAGACACTCTGCAAGTGACCCCATTAGTAGCTTCGTTACTGGAGAGAGAGTTTGAGTAAGTTTGTTACCTGAACGTTTTCCCGTTTTTTGCTTCTCAATTTGCCTCCGGGTAATGCTGTCTCGTAGCCGTTTCAGATTTTCCTAGAACGTCACAATACATTCTTTTCAGTGCTTGGAATAAATGAACACATGCAGTTTTATGATGGCATCAAGAATGTACTTAGGCTAAATCTGTCTCCAAGCTGCATCACTGGCAACAAAATCTGTCTGGAGTTCAATCTGTGCGACTGGGTTTTAATCTATTCCCGGGAGAAGTCCACATAGTGTGCGCATGGCTTTTCAGGAACCAAGCGATTTGAAGATGCTCGTGGCATATGTTCCGAATCAGGCTCAGAGATCCACCAATATCTTGTGGAAAAGATCTAGAGAACATTCTGTCTGGAGAGGATTCTGCTGATCTTATATACCCCAGTTTCCTGTGTTTCTATTCCCCCTTTTATGGACACTAGCACAGAAAGAGGATTTGTGCTGCTGCTCACTGCCCACCTGACGTCACCACCAGCCATTTCCATGGGGCAAGCAGGAGATGGTGAGTGCAGGAGGGGAGCGGGCTGCCACATATCCCAATTTCTGAGGCTCGGTCCTGGTGGAATTCAAAACCTCCCTGCTGAAACAAGGGGGGAACTGCAGTCCAGAAATACAGGTGGGGCTAAGGAGACATCCCCACAGCATGACAGTGCCTGGTGACGATGCTGTCTTATGGGGATGCGAGTGTTGCAGTGTGGAGAGAGGACAGTTTCAGATGACACAGCCTTAAAAAGGAGGCAACCCTATACAAGTGGAGACACAGCAGTTGCACCCACTAGGCAACTGAGTCGAGTTTAAAACCAGAGCAGCAACTGTGCTCCACCCCGGGGAGAGAGGATAACAGGGTGGAAGGAGGCAGACTTGACTCTTAAGAGCTGTTCTTGTCTCCAAAGAACATCCCAGCAAACATCTGCTGGAACGATGGCTGCAGGCACAGAACCTGCCCCCAGCAGGCCTTTAATCTAGGGAGAAGTGAGGGGTTCTCATGAGGCCCTCTGGATAAAGAAGACCACCTCTGGGCGAGAATGAGGTGGAGGAAGTGGCTTGCTTTTGTCCTGCCAGCACCTACAGGAGTCTCAATTTCCATCCCCCCCCACAGCACTCTCGCAGACGCCAAGGCTGGCTCTGTTGCAGTGCGAACGAGAGGCTATGCTAGGAGCTGGCGTCACATTTAAGGTGGGAATGCCGCTATGGCTGGAATATGAAAAATTAAGACTTGGATGCTCATTTCCAGACCCCCACTACAAACTGCTGAGTGACAGTAACCCTATGAATCTCTCATGGACTAGTCACAAGTTAGGTGCTTTTTCCAAAAGCAGGTTCTCCTGAACACCCTGAGAGTCATCAGTAGGAAGTCTCTGGAGACCGTAGGTGGGGGAAGCCTTCTCTTATTCTGGCTTGCAAAGAGCCAGGGGAGGTTCAGCCCTTACCCCCTCTCCCCCCAGGGATTAGGCACAAAGTCATAACTTTCTGATGGGTGTGGGGTGGCCTGATCTTAGTTGGGTGGGGCTCAGTCCAATTCCTGGTAAGCAGGGATCCACATTACAAAAGTCACCCCCACAGTCACTGGTCCCTCGTTAGGCCAATTCAGAAGGGAGGCCAGTGACTGAGCAGGACTGGGGACCCCCACAGGGACAGCCAATCCAGCTCAGAGGTGAGACCTGCTGGTGGGGCAATTTCAGAGACACTAGTAATGCTGGCTGCATTGTACCTATTCTGTAAGCAGAGAATGGAATTCACCACCCCTGAACTAGCTAAGAAGGTGTTTTTAACCGTGGTAGACGCCTGTACCTGTTGGAACCGGAATGATTCCGATCTCTTCTTCTGGTTCAGTTGCCACTCCTTAAAATGGAGCACGGCTTCATCAACATTGAGTATCCCCATCTTGACTTGTTCCTGTAGCGTAATTAACTGCCGCTGACCTGGCGTTTTCATCCCAGCGAATGGGTCGTATATGCTTGATTGTGACTGGTCCCTGACAAGCCTGACTGCAGGCTCTGAAAAGAGAAAGTTAAACACGTACTGAGCTTGGGGTTGTTTTTTATACTCAGGGACACAGAGATTAGCTGCCCCACACCATTATGTTACTGCAGGGGTAGAGCAGAGATTCTTAACAGACAAATCAGGACATGCCAGTGTCTGGTTCCAACAACCTAGGTCTCCTGTCCCAGGTGCTTTCTGTGACATGCAGCTATTTAGTGGGTATTCCCATAAAATCTAGAGGCCCTGGCCAAAATCAAGAGCCCTTGTTTACAAACACATAGTAGAGACTGTCCTTGTCCTTAGCAGCTGGGAGTTTAAATAGATGGCATACAGGATATGAGGGGAAAGTGAGGCATAAAGCAGGGCAGTGACTTGCCCAAGGTCTCCCAGCAGGTCAGTGGCAGAGTCAAATCTCCTGACACCCAGCCCAGTGACCTAGGTAACTAGAATAAGCCGCTTCTCAACCACTAAGAGCAAAGACCTGCCACTGCCAGCCTGAAGATCTCCAATACTGTGGTTTACTGGATCCACCACTGGATTGAGACTCAGGCCTGAGTTTTAGTCTCAGCTCTGCCACTGGCCTACTAAGGTGACCTGGACAAGATACTTCCTCTCTGCCTCAGTTTCCCCATATATAAAATGGGAATAAGTATACTGACCTTCTTTGTAAAGCATTCTAAAGAACACTTGATGAAAAGCCACCACGACAGAGCCATGTATAACTATTAAGGCCCCGATTTTGAAATCCAGGAAATTGTGGGTGGCTCAGTACCTATCAGAGTCAGATCCCTGAGGTTTGGGTACAACACTAGCAGCATCATGTAATGAACACTGTAAAGCTAATGGGACAAACCCTGAATACAGGGTTTGGCTGCTAGGAAAACGAAAACACCAGCTCTATAAATGGAGCATCCTTCCCTGACTTTGGGCAGGCCAACTTCACTTTTCACTGAAAAAGCTGGATTATTTTCTGTTTACACTTCTTCATTTTCACTGATTATAACAGCGATAGTGACCCCTGAGTCCGACACTTCCTGTCAGCTAGTGAGTGGCAACTGATAAAGCTGGTTGTTAACTACCGGGAAACCACACCCTGTCTTAAGGCACTCCCCTGAATGTCTTAGAGCACGTTAGTCTAAAAGCAACAAAATGAACTAAGGATGTATGGCCCAACAAACAATCATACCGGTACTGGCATGCCTCATTGGCGACAAATACAGCCCCACTCCTATTACCAGCATAGAGGGGTGAATAAACCACCTCCCAGTGACAATCCATAAACAAAGCAAATAGCTAGCCTTGCAGTCACAAAGCTAGGATCCTCTCTGGCACTCTGTCGTAGGGAGCCAAAAGACCGATGGGTGAGGAGTCATGCGAGCGCTAGTGGAGCTGGTCAGCTCACTGGCACATACACACACTTCATTCACATTAAATTAGTTTGCCAGTTTTCCTCTTGCATTATAGGAAAGTTCTCTGAAACAGACACCTGACTTACCTTTCTTAATCTTCCCTGCAGAGACATACAGATTCCCAGGTCTTTCGTGAGCTTTCCCTGCAAATACTATAAAACAGGTATTCCTTAGACACCTCACCACATCACAGACAGGACAGAAATGGTAAGGTTACACACAGGAAATCGAGCAAACCCACTGAAGTCAAGGGAGAAAATAAGACAAGGGACAGCATGGTAGAAACACCCTTCCCGTGGACAGAATTCAACCATGCAATCCATTCCTAACACAGGACTGAATGCACTTTTCCAGAGATGTTTTAGTGTCAGGCCTGCTGCTGGATGCCCCTTTAGATGATGCTCCAGAATTTGGTTATAATTTTTTTTTAAAGAATCACAATGTGTGTATTCATACAAAACATTATGATGGAGAGTTCCAAAGCTGCCTAGAAGATAATTGCACAACTCACTTTAATTTCAGTGGAGATTGTGCATCTAAGCCCCCTAGGTAGCTTTGAAAATTTCAGCCATAATGGATGGTTTTGTCTACATAAGTATGGCCGTACTGGGTCAGACCAATGGTTCTTATGTAGACAAAGCCATTTACATTTCGTCTTACCTTTTCAGAGGAAATGAAATAAAATTATCTTCATGGTAGGGAGTGTTATCTAGTAGTTAGAGAAAGGGACTGGAGTCAGGACTCCCAGGCTCTATTTCCAGCTCTACGGATTCAGTGACACCTTTACATAGTCTCTGTGCCTGAATTTGCCTATCAGCACAACAGCCATGCCGTTGTCTACCTTGTAACTTTAGGCACTTCCCAACAAAACTGGGTCTGTCCAGAGCAGACCATAGCTGATCCTGGCTTTGGAAGCCTGCAGTCCGACTGCTTACACTCAAGCCAAGACCTCAGGATGCAAACACCACAGTGTTTTGGGAGAGGGAAGAAGGGTGAAATCCAGATCTGGATCCCAATAGGAGGCCTATCTCTTATAGAATGAACCAAGAACCTAGAGGTGAATAATCTAAACTCTGGGGATTTTGGAAGCCAGACGAGGATTCTGATCAAGGTCTGGGAGGTGGGCCCATCGCTGTCCCACTTCTACAACAGGTACTCCATGCAGTATCTGCTCTGCTCTGTACTGCTGGGCACAGAAACACAGATGGTTCTGGTACAGGACTCACCTTTGGAAATGTACAGCTCCTTCTCTTGATGAAGGGAGCTGGAGTCAGGCCTCGGAACAGGAACTGGAGGTCTGTTGACCATTTCCTGAGGGAAGTCATCCTGCTCCACAGTGTAGTAAAGTTCATCCTCACCGCACTGCTGGTAGGGATCATCCTCTGAATCTGGCACATCTTTGCTACTGCCTAGAAAGCAACTAAAGTCAGTGAGACACCAAGCCACCCAAAGCTGTGCTGACATCTGCACTGTAGCTCTCATCAATCACACAGCACACTGTGCCTGATGACATTGGCCATAATTGAATGGAAATAGACACACTAATTTTTTCAGTGGTTTTTAAGTGCCTAGAACAGTTCTTTATCTGGTCACCAATGTCTGGTAGTGGGTTAAGTGCCTGAAGTAGATACCACCTTGTTTGGTGTGGGTATTTTCAACAGTGCCTGTCCTTCCTGGACCGTGAAGGACTGTGGTGAAAAGCTGTAGGGCTGTAATAAATTTGGGATGTTAACAGTGTTTGTTGCTTACATTAGTCATCTGCCATCTACTGGATCCCAGGTGCTAGTGAAACTATCACAGCACTGGGTTTCAAAGGCCAGCATCTTAGCGGGGTTAGTATATTTACCAGCTGCTGAAACTGACCAAAAGTTGTGTTATCTGAGGAGCATTATTCCTTTCTCTGCTGCAGCCACTGGCCGCTGCCAGGCCGAATACTGGCCAAGAGGACTATGAGTCTCTTCTGATAGGAAGTAATTCCTGTGTTCCTGTCTGCGTATTCACTAACTGGAATGCTGACGTCTTGGCGTGGGAGCTGCACCAAACCATTTGGATCCTCTCAGTGGAAGAAACCCACTCTGGTACTCACATGTGGCCCACCCTGAGCGCCTCGCTATCTTTAACCTATTTATCCTCAGCACCCCAGTGAGGTAGGGGAGTGCCATTGTCCCCAGGGGGAACTGAGGCTCAGAGAGGTTTAAATGACTCACACAAGGTCACAGCATGTAACTGAACCTGGGTTTCCTGAGGCCCAGGCCCAGGCCCTAGTCACTGGGTCACCCCTCCCCCTTCAGTGAGGCAGGTGACCCAGGGCTGACTCTGCATGGCTGGCAAGGGCAGGGGTATGTGCAGAGCAGCTGGGGGATTAGTGTTACCAGGGGCAGTTCAGTCTTGTTCTGCTTCTGAGCTGGTGACGTGGGGAAGCAGAAGAGGAGCCACCAGGAATCTGAAGAGTCAGAGGCAGTAAGGGCTGGGGACTCAGAGCATGTCGGGGAGGGTGGCGGCACAGAGCTGAGGGCTGACTTGAGTCGGAGAATGCAGAGGGGCAGGGATCAGAGCCGGAAGCCAGGCAGGCAGCAGCAGAGGGACATTTGCATTTAGCCAGGGCATCCACGAGGGCAGCAAATCAGGTTTACCAGTTGGATTTTCTTCCCTGCAGCCATACAGTAAGAATCACACTTCCACACTGGCATGAAATCCACGGGCCCACTGTGGTCTGGCCAAGCCACGTTCATTTAATCCTCCTGACTTGACCTAATGGCCAGTTCCTCCGCTAGGCCCACGTGCCCTCCCGAAGGCTCAGAGCAGCACAGGCAGGTACCAGCCTGCGGCAGGCTTTCCCAAAGCAACACTCAGGCCTACTCTATGCTTATAAGGTTTTCCGGTATAGCTCTCCTGACAAAACCCACCTAGTGCAGACCCAGCTTATACCAGCAAAAAGTAGCGTTTGCCAGTATAGCTTAGCACACCTTGTTTCGCTTGCCAAACAAGTATAAATTCTACCAGCAAAAATGCCGGTATAAGCCCTGGCCTCAGAAACCTGTTGCTCTCCAGAAAGCAACAGCACCCGGTTCACCCAAGCAACTCCCCTGATACTTCCTAGCTGATCAGCAGCACAGTCTCATGAAAATGATCCCTTGCCATCAACCGGAGACTAGCAACAAAGAGTGATTAAGATACTTAGTGGCTGGAATTCAAAGAGGGCTTCATAGCTGCATGGCTGTTAATTATCTGGCCTGCACAAGCAAAGAGTAAGAGGAATCCAACCTCACACAGTTTTATTTCTCCTTTCTAGGCCGCTATTTTCCACAGAGGTCTTTTTGCCTACACATCCCCAGCTTCCTGTGGTATGGAGAAATGCCCCAGCTTTCCATAATTAAGGTTTAAGATAGCCTCCCTGTACAGGCCAGAATTTGAACAAACACCTTACTAACTTCATCAAGCGATCCACCCGAAATTATGTGAAATGTTTTACCCAAGGGCAGATCTTGGATGTTCAGCATTTGGTACAAGCCAGGATAAGCCATTTTAGAAGCAGTGTTGCCAAAACATGGTTTTAGCATGAGTGACACAGCATGTGGTGTTGGGCAATCAAGAACCTCTGCTTTCATTTAAATAAAAAGCCAGCTGCTAGCCCTCATATTTCTGGAGAAAAGCGTGAAAACCTGACCTGAGCGTACAGTAAAGGCCCACAAAGCAGAAAGCAAAGAAAAATCTCTCAGTCTCATGATCTTTGAACACATACAGCTGCCCACACTGGAGACAATGGGGTTCAAGAGAAGGACTGTTCTCAGTTCTGAAAGTTAATATTTGCCTCCTTCTCTCCCCAAAGAAACTTGGTCTACGAATGCCAACTTTGTCATTAGGTTGTCTGGCCCAGGAGGTGTGTATAGTCAAATCTGCTGACTTCAGTGACAAGAAAATGTTTGATTGTTACCTCTTAACCCAACAGAAACACACCTAGCAGAGGGAGCTGAATTAGATTCCTTCTTGTGCAGCCACAGGATTGTTCACTAAATTCTATGAGTTGCACCTACAGACAGTGCGCTTGCACAGCATCACTAAAGGCCTAGTTTGACTTGCAGAAACTTGGGCTTTTTTGAAACGGGACTAGATTAAAAGTGCATTAACAGTTTGTTAATGTGGCCATGTGGACAGCTGGTCTGTGGCAGGCTAGTGCAGAGTACATTAACACAGGGCCGGCTCTGGCTTTCTGGCTGCCCCAAGCAAAAAAAAACAAACAAAAAAAACACAGTGGCCAGAACAGCAAAGCAAAAAAAACCTGCGGCGCGGCCAGAGCCAGGGTGCAGGGGGACTCCCTGCCCTGCAGATTTGCCCCGGCTAGCGTGGGGAGGGAGAGGGAGCGGGGGGAGAGAGAAAAGGGAGGCGGCCAGGGCTTCAGCTGGGAGGGCTCCGCGCCGCTCCAGTTGGCGGGGAGGGAAGGACACGGGCTGCCCTGCCGGGCTTGCTGCAGGGCGCTCCCGTCCTCCACACCGCTGCCCCTACAGGGCAGCCGGAGCGGAACAACAACAACAACAAAAAAGCAGCCGTGCAGCCCTAGGATTGGACAGAATGCCGCCTCCTACAAGCTGCCGCCCCAAGCACCAGCTTGCTCAGCTGGTGCCTGGAGCCAGCCCTGCATTCACACTCCTGCTTGCCACAAACTAAGTGTCAGCGTAGACAAACCCTTAGTTGCTGGTGATGTGAGAGAGGGATATAATCCAGACTGGCTCTCAGGGCCCAGGCAGAGTTCGCAGGGATGCTAGTTAGGAAAACCTGAGGATGTTTGATATGAAACCTGGAGCCCCATTATGCCATTTCCACAGAGTAGAACCCCTTCTGGAGCATCGTACGTGCAGAAACCATATGGGCCAAAAGCTTTCAAGACAGGTACCTCAATTAAGCACCTAGCAGAGGTCTGGTCTGAGAGGTTCTGGACACCATCCTTTCTCACTGAAGTCAATGCAGAGGCCACATCTCTATCTACACAACCAGGTAGTTGAGGATAATAACTAGCCACCTCTTAGTCAGAACTTAAACTCCTCTCCCAAGCAGATCTGCACTTGGGCACCTTTAGGGGGGCTGATGTCCTCTTAACATGGAGAGCAGAAGGCCACAGAAAGGCGAGTGTATACAGGAGAACCTCCCTGTCTGAATATTCATGTCACTTAATAACGGGGGAGGGGATAGAACCAGAACTGGATCTTACTCTGAGTTAAAACACAAATCAAAGTTGGTTATATATATATATATATAGAGAGAGAGAGAGATACCTATCTCATAGAACTAGAAAGGACCTTGAAGGTCATTGAGTCCAGTCCCCTGCCTTCACTAGCAGGATCAAGTACTGTCCCTGACAGGTTCCCCCAAAATCACTAAATGGCTCTGTCAAGGATTGAACTCACAACCCTGGGTTTAGCAGGCCAATGCTCAAACCACTGAGCTATCCCTCCCCGCTGTGACCCTGCAGATATGCAAGCCACCTTCCCTGCTGTACTGAACACTTTTCAGCAGATGGGGAAAATACCCAGTTCAGCAGAGCCATTCACCTTGAGCACTGGAGATTTGCTTCTATCTTTACAGAGCAGGACAAAATCTCAAACAGAATTTATTTTAATTAACCCTAACCCCTTCTCCCCCCACCACTTCCACTCTCCATCCCCGTCCCCCAGCTCTCACCTTCTAAAAATTTGCGGATCATAGAGTCTTTTATATTCAGAGAAAGCTGGTCTTTAGCGACTGTGGCTTCGGGTTTTGACTGAAGCATCTCTACATCTGGAAGAACAATTGGGAAGAGTAATCCGTTAACTATGTCTTCAACCACACCGTGTTTTCCATTAGCTGTTCACAAACCCAATATGATTAGCGGACCTGCGATTTCTGAAACACCCAGGCCCACTGACCAGTCACTCAACTTTAGGATGGACAATTTGGACAATTCCAAGCACAAGTATTTGCCTCAAGAGATGATTGTGGGGCTAAGTCCCAGTAAGACTAGTGGAGTTCCATGCCTAGTCTGAAAGGAGAATGTACTGCATTGTATCCAGTCTAAAACCATGTCTACACTACGGGGACTCTAGCACCATAGCTACATTGTGTAGATGCAGACTGTGGCAATGAAAGGGGTTTTTCCATCACTATAGGAACACCACCTCCCCGAGCGACAGTAGCTAGCACAACGGAAGTTAGGTCGGCGTAGCTATGGCACTCCGGGGTGTGGATTTTTCACACCTCTAAGCACCGTAGCTATGACAACCTCCATTTTAAGTACGGATGCAGCCTAATACCCAGCACTGGAACAGTAGAGACACTACAATTACGTCTAAATTCTAACCCTGTCTTTATTTGCCCATAACTTCCCAACACTTTCACCTTTCAGACTGAAATTTCCAGGTGTTGTTCCTGCCTGGAGGAGACTAATGTATAAAAAGGTTCAGCTGTTTAACATGAAGGCAGATATGCTATTCCCACCAAACAAGTTTTGTGTGATGTTCTGCAGCTGAAATGGCTGGAGAGGAAATTAAGACTGTAAGCTGTTTAGGATAGATAGAGACTGTCTTTACTACAAATCTTTACAGCAGTTAGTACAATGGACCCCCAATGTGGTTGGAGCCTCTAGCTGCTAGCAAACCTGCAGGGGATGGGGGCAGTGCCAGGGGGTAAGGAAAGGCCTCAGGAAAAGCCAGTAAGGTCTAAAAGGGAACAGACCTTGACTGCTGACTAGAGGGTCCCTGAGCCGGAACCTGGAGTAAAGGGTGGATCCAGGTTCTCCTGCCAGCCACTGAGGAAGTGGCACTCTGCGGCAGTGAATGGGAAGACTGCCCAGGATTGCTGAAGGAAGGGGAAAACATGTAGAGTGACCTGGCTGGAGAGCCAAGTCACAAAGATGCAGCAGCAGCAGCTCATGGAGCAAGAGTGGGGCTTCTGACCCAGAGAGAGAGAGGTGGAGAAATGGTGTGCAACCATGGGCAGGGTGTTGACTTTGCATGCTATATCCCTGAGTGACCAGGAGGAGGCGCCATCCTAGCAGGGAGTGGAGCACCTTGCCACAGACTCCTATTTAGGGAAGCATGTGAGCACATTCTTCCGGGCTTTGCTGATCAGGGATGAACTTTAAGAATGTTAAGCAAGTGCTTTAACTATTACAGGCCCCATCTGTGGAAATGCATGTTTTGGTCAAGGTTGGTTTTACTGTGGCCAAGTTATAAGCCACTGAAAGTCGCTCTTGCTCAGTACGTTTTGCACAGGGTTTCTGCCAAGTTCCTCAAGTGTGCAGCTAAGGAAGGCCATTGCTGTACAGACAGAGGTGAACAACAGATTGAGTGGTGGGGAGTTCAGTGAAGGTGCTAACAGGGCATTGAGGATTAGCTACTGTTTGGAAGACACTTTGGGCTGCTCAGCTGGAGTTGGCTATACATGTCCAATATTTCAGCATTAGAGCGCATGTCTTTGTACAGAAACTTGTCATTTTTATCCAAGTAATCAATAATTTTAACAGACTGGTATTTACAACTTATACAATCAGGCATGAACCAAGCCATTGATGTATGGATTTCGGAGTGGAGTAGACAGCATTGGGAATGCAAAATTCCTTTCCTTCTCTGCATAGAAAACAAAGAGACAGTCTCCTGTTCCCCTTTTTTTTCAATGCTCTGCAGAATTATTAGACCAGCACAGTAACAGGAAGTTGGGGAGTTTTCTATTGCGTAGCCAAATCTTTTCACCATGCGTCAACTACCGGAGATAACTACTGCATAAGAAGGCTACTGCTTTTCTGGGTAAAATCGATCTATCTAGCCAATAAGTTGTCAATCTATTTCAGACAGAGAAAATCTTATACCAAGGGATCACTGTTACACTTGGTTAGTGAGTGACCCATGGTAGAAACCAGATCTTCTTTATGGGGCATTAGCCAGAATTAGTTAACAACTCACTAATCCCACCAACTGCCTGTAGGGTATGTGTTCCGTTTATGGGCTGTTCTTTTTTTCCTTTCCCAGTAGAAGGCCAAGCTGATTTTGCCAAGGATGAGTGAAAACTATAACAGGGATCCCAAACTTTGCCCAGCTGAGAGCCACGCTGGAAACTTGCCAGGAGTCAAAGGACAATACCCAAGTGGTATGAAATACAGCAGCTTATATATTAGACACTGCTGTACTGCAGACTCCAAATGGACAAAAATATGAGGCTGAAACACCAGAGGTAGGTTATCCTCATGCATTGTCCCATATACCTGACTCTGTAGGAGGATGAGCTACAAGTATAAATAAAATATCAAGTATGTGACATTACTCAGTGAAGTAGACGAAGGGATTAGTGGCACATCACAGGGAATTGCAGACACTGACTGGGGGAAGAGAGATTAGCTTCCCGGATGTAGGCAGGCTCTTGGGCTTGCCTGACAGGCAATTACCACATCATTGTCTCCTGGCACACAGATCTGCCTTGTATACAGATGACACCTAATAATGTCCTATCCATGTCACCAGATCGAGCTGAAGCCTTGGACATCCTCCAGATGGATTATCTATTCCCCTTACCTCATCAGAAATGAGACTCTGGGGCAGGGATTAGGGGGAGAAGAGTCACCCACAAAGTCTGGGCCTCACAGCCAGGTGCCCAGCAATAGTTTGCAAGTGCCCCCAGGTTTGCTTGAACTAATCAGGGGACCTAGGGTGAAGGATCTTGTGGTGTGAAGCCAGCAGGGAGAGGAGAAGCCATGCTGGAATCTCAGGTGTCATGCTACGTAGGATTTAAGATAAAAGACAGCCTTCCGATTTCCCTTCCCATTCTGTGCAGTGACTGGAGATTTCATGTGGGTTAACAGCTTCTCACTCAGCCAGTAGAGCCTTGGACCTTCTGGACGTTCAGTCACTGCCCCTTGGTCTTAGAGACACCAACTATACACATGGGCTGCCTCAGTGCATGGCTGCACCTGCCTTTTATGTTAGCACGTAAAGAAACCCCTGCTCCCTTCTCCATTAGGTCTTCAGACACACTTGTGGTCAGCTATTACCGAGCACACACAAAACCAGCTGTGTTCAGAGGTCAGTTCTCTATTACTTAACACAAAGACTTCAGTGTTTTGCCATAATCCCACCCCAGAATTTTAAAGCAATTACATTTTGTGCATTTTGTACATTTTGGAGGAGGGATAGCTCAGTGGTTTGAGCATTGGCCTGCTAAACCCAGGGTTGTGAGTTCAATCCTTGAGGGGGCCATTTAGGGAACTGGGGTAAAAATCTGTCTGGGGATTAGTCCTGCTTTGAGCAGGGGGTTGGACTAGGTGACCTCCTGAGGTCCCTTACAACCCTAAGAAAAAAAAATTCCCTTTGTTCACCTGAGGAAGACAAGAAGGCTGCAGTTCTGCGCACTACCTACAATCCGTAGACACAGGTTAGAAAAACCTTGTCTATGCGGGGGGGAGGGGGATGGAAATAACACAGCTCACTACGACGGGAAAAGACAATGTGAGCAGCTAACAAAATCCACTCTTAAAAAGGATTCAGGGGTTCTGAAACCTCATTCTGCACTTCATGGCACAATCATTTAAAAGCTGCTGTTCCAGCAGTGTCCCTTCCAGAGGGGGCTTGCAAGATTAACTATTTAACTTTCTAAAGCATGAAGCTCTGGCTGCATTAGTTCCTGCACCTGGATGCACTATGGTTAAGGTAACAGGGCTGGGAATCAGGCAGACAATCTGGTGCCCCAGACCTTTGTCCAAGGTCACATGCACACAGCAACAGAGGGAAAGTGACATGGTTATTTACCCATCTAAAATGGAGTTAATGCTCCTCAGGTGGCTGGAAGCAGGGGTGCCAGAACAAGAAGGACCAGGGGGCCATGGTCCCTCCACTTTTTACTGGACGTAAGGGCAAGCCACAGGAGGATGGTGCGGGAAGGAGTGAGTGGTGGGTGGAGCCTCGGGGGAAGAGGCGGTGCAGGGGCAGGTTCTTGGGGGAAGGGGAGGGGCAGGAGTGGGATCTCAGGAGGGATGGGTGACATGGAGGTGGGGCCACAGTTCGGGCGCCTGTGGTCCCCCCACTTTCAGGGTGCTTTGGCTGCTCCTGGCTGGAAGATTGCAGTTTGTTAAATGCACTGAAGTCAGTGGATGCCAGGCCCTAGAGAGGGGCAGAGTGTTATTTGAGTAATTGCTAGAGGGGGAAAAGGGGGCTTTAGGGCTGCAGACAGTAGCGTTAAAACAATTTGTACAGTGGGGGTGCTGAAAACCATTGAACCAAACCGTTAACTCTGTTTACGATGGAAACCACGTCAAGCCAGGAGGTGCTCCCACACCCCCAGCACTCCTAGTTCCAGCACCCTTGGCTGCAAACAAAAATAAGTGTCATAATTAGCAAGTCAAAATGTGGGTCACAGAACTATCTAGCCGAGGAAGTAAATGCCTTCCCCTGGCTGGGAACAGAGTGAACAGACTCAAGAAACACATAGCCTTGGAGGAGGGCAGAAGTTCCCCATAGCTTCCTCCTACAAGTATATCATTGCTCTCCTTATTGGTTCAGAGACTGGAATAAAACGTATCAAATCTCCACCTTCACGCTCCAGTCGGTCGTCACTGAGCTGCATGTGCTAAGGCCTTAATACATGGAGCCTTCTGCAGTGTAAGAAACAGACCCGAACAGTGGTAAACTACAGACATGGGGACTTTGGCCAGTTCCTTGACATTGTCTGGTACTTCTGCATGATAGGATGTGTTCTGCTCCACGCTTTAAGGAAACTGTTCCATTGTTCCCTCCAGCAGGCTTCACTACACGCACTCGCTAATCAGGTGCATCAGACCCTACCCTCTGGCATCTTCTTAGGAAAAGCACCTTCGATTCCAGGCACGAAGTTTGCCCTGTACTTAGATCAAAAAGAACCCACTGGTTAAAGATTAGTCAACCCCCAAGAGTTAGGAGGTGGAAGTCGGGAGAACAGCTCTGGCACACAGACTCATTCAAAAGGCCACATTTCCTAGATCCAGGGTTTGGAACTGAGCAGGAGAGGTTGGTGGAGGAAAAGAGTTCACAGTGATTAAGACAAAATGGTCCCTTTGTTCACAATGCAGAAGTGAGGTGAAAAGGATAACTCCCCCTTCATACCTCTTGGCTGCATCTACCTGCAACCCAACAAACCTGCTGCAATTTCCTTATATCTGAAAGTTTCAAATACTTGTAAGGTCAAATGTAAGGTGTAATCAGAGGGACAATTGTACTGAAGGGGAAATTCCTACAATTAATGGGATGAAATTAACCAAAGGACAATTTAGGCTCAATATCAAAAATATTCTTAACAGCAAGAGAATTTGGCTGTGTGCTAGTTTGTGAAGGGAAGTAGGTTATGAACATTTAGAACAACACTGGGGAAGTGGCTGTAGAGAATAACCCTGCACTGGACAGGGCCAGGGACACAGAGTTCTGTATAGGAACAGTTCTTTCCCAGCTCTATGGTTGTGTGGCCCATCTTAAAACTGAATTTCATGGGACACTATCAGCTTAGACATCACACTAGTGTCTGAATCTGTCCTAATCCTAGCACAAGTAACACCTCTTTCTGGAACTGAATGGTTAGAGAAATTGTCAGACCCACAAAGTAAAAATTCTCTGTGTTCCTTGCACAGAATCCATTTCCCTAGGCCAACAGAGAGAGAAAAAAGCATTGAAAAGACTAAAGGGATCAAGACTAGAGACTGGCTGGGGGACTCAGTACCAGTGTGTAAACCTGAAGCTATTTTTAACGCTTTGAAACTGATTACATTTCAAATAGCTTCTCATTAACCCAGGTAACCACTTGGTGCTTTCAGGCTTTCTCGGGTCAGTTCTCGAAGTGTGTGGCAAGAACTGTGGTCCAATCCTGCCAGGTGGGCATGTTACTGATATGGTTGTGGCTTAGTATGTTCCTTGTTCAGAGAAGCCATTGGAAATACTAGAAATCAGTTCCAACCTGGAGGAAATGTGTCAACAAACATCATGTTTCACTTTTCTATGTAGTTTTTCATTTCCACATAGCTTTAACTAGGTGCCAAATCTTGAAGTCTATAATCATTAAGTCAGTCCTAACTCAGGCAATACTCCCACCACTTTCAGTAAGGGCTTGTCTTGATATCAGTATAGCTTATTTTAGACACCAGTCAAACACCTGTATGCTAAAATAACTGCATCAACACTAAGTTACACCACCAGTTGAGCTATATCCGTCTCTACACCAATACAGTTACATAGGGGCAAAAACTATCTAGGCCTAAGAATTTTCCCAGGTAAAGACTCCGTAAGGCCTTCAAAGATTTATTCTTTATACCACCACCAGCCCCTGGGGTAGAAAGCGATAGCCATGCGGAGTACAGAAAACACAGCACAGCCCTGGACACAAGAGCAAACACACTGTTACAGAAAGAGCTAGAGGCTCTTTGTCCATGCAGACAGACCAAACCTCAGATTTAAAGAACAGCTCTGTTCTGCAGAGTTTTTAAGATGTCACCCTCTTGTTCAGATCTGCTCCTTGTGTGTATTCAGAGCCAAGATGCCCATTTGTGACAGAACTTTTTGTTCTTTACTTCCGCCAGCCCTGCAGAGCCAATACAGCAGCATAAACTGGATTCAGTTCCTTTTTGTGCACCAAGAGAATCACTTCGTTCTAGTCTTTTAGACCTCTGCAAAGCCACCAAAGTCACTGGCCTTGTGCACATGTCGCGAGAGCACATTGGGGCCTACAGAATCTTTGCTACTGGTAAGGTTCAGGAAGTGCAGCCTGACTCAGACCCCAAGTTTGCAGGACTGGAAATCAGCCCACTTTTACTCATCAGCTGAGCACATTTGATCTGAAGTCGGAGAACACAGTATGGAATCTCATGAGGCCATTTTGGGAGCATAGCTGCATTCTACATTCCAATTCAAAAGTCTCAGAGAGTAAGTTATAGGAAACCCTACATCAAAAGAATGAGTAAGTCCTACTGCGTTTCTGGAGAGTCTCGGCATTTCAACCCACTAAACTCAACTAGTTTTTCCTCCAATTTTTTTGGCCTGACCACTTTACCTTAAACAGAGATCTACCCACTCTCCATAGAACTATCCAAACCAACATCTAGAAACCAATTCTACACAGACTACTTCTGAAACAGCACACATTAGCCACAGCTCCCCAGCTCTCACGCAAGTACTAGGGACAATAGGATCTTTGTGGCTGAGGCATTCAATTGCTCCTGCTGCTTATTCTTCACCTGAAATCCTAACAACCTGGTTTTGTAGCAACATAACCATCTCCACAGCAACCAAATGAGACGTCACAAAGACGGGATTATGAATTCAGGTGAAGGATAAACAGCAGTGGCAAATGAACCCCTAAGCAACACAGATCTTGTTTTATAGTGTCCTTCATATTCATATGGGGAGGAGAGAGCAATCCAAGATATATTGTCTATACGCAGAAGTGTTTCAGTAGGAGACGTTTTCCCTGAAGCAGTGAATTTTTTAAGTGCCAATACCCTCCCCTCCCCTGACAGCTGATTTTCTCACAAGCAGTTAAACAGTAGCAACCCACACTTTTTAACTTGTCCCGCCTCCTCTCAAGTCACTACATTGGCTTCTCAGCTTCTACATCAGATTGAAGTTCCTTGTCCTTCCTTTTAGAGATCAGTCCTACTCCTACTAAAAAAGGAGGTGCCTTTTTTAACATACTCCTTTCATGCAGAGCAAGATCTGCAGTCTAATGATGAAAGCGTTACTTCTTTTTATGCCTGTTATCTCAAAGCTGACAGTAGCCCAACCATCTTTTAGTGTTGCTGGTGTGGACAGAGATGAAATGTTACAATCAAAACACATTATAAATGCAATCAGGGAACTGCTATGTGTAAACACTTGGCTTAACATAATAAGAGATTTAGTTTGACAAGGCCTGCAACACTCCACACAACTTAAAGTCTATACATACACAGATCGTCTGTGGCATCAGGGGCAAAGTTGGCCATGGATTCATAGAGCTCATCATCACAGCCAGGATTCAGGGAGCATTTCATCAGCAGGTCGGTGGAGAGGTGAGCCATGGACTCATAAACAGAGTCATCTTCCTCGCCCTGCATCAGCTCCTCCTTAATGTGACTCTTCAGCATATCAGCAGTTTCCTGGAAGAAGGAGTGTAAGCAAAAGACTCAGTAAAGAGAGAATCTGGGAAATAAAGCTGCTCTTGCTGTGTGAAGTGGAGTGCATTAGCATGTTCAGATTTACTGAGTGCATGTGAAAAATGTTTTTAAAAGTTGCATCCATCCAGGGTCCAGAGTCAGCAGATTTAATTGCTGCCCATGCTATAAGCAAGCAGAGGACTTAAGTCTCCAGGGACATCCATCTGGTATATTTCACCAACACATCCATCCTCTGAGCCCACAACTGCATCTGCAGGTCTCCCCTTCTGGGAAATCAGTGCCAATATCAGGATAAGTCTGCCACCCACTTGTTATGGAAAGAGCCTTCCAGTGTAAACCCATCGAAGGCTGAATGTACCTTAGTCCCCATTATAGCTGCACAGATCCAGGGTCTATGCTACAGTGGATAGCCAGGTCTCTGAGAGGCCACCCAAGCTGTCTCTAGCAGCACTAGTGTAACCCACACACCTCCGGGGGGGGTCTTCTGTCCCACCTAGTGGCACCGAGACCACTTAAAGAGAGAGAGTTAAATGAGTCTGCTCGACAGTCTTAGCTAACAGGCAGTTGGCTTTTAGCTCATGCGGTAGAGGCTCATGCACTAGGCTCCACAGGTCCCAGGTTCGATCCCGCCTGCTGACGACCGGGGTCTGTCGGTGTTACACTAGCACCAACATGAGGTCCTCCCTGGCCACCTGCTGTTGAGCTGGCTCCTGTGTGGAGCTGAAGAGGGTAGCTCAGTGGAGGAGCAAGTTCAGGTGCAGGAATCCAGCATAAGGAGGGGGACAGGAGAGAGAACCCAATCCCCCCAGATGCAGAACAGCCATTGAGACAGGAGGCAACATGGGAAAGTAGGAGACCTGGCTTGACCCCAAAACCAGCAGCTGCCGCCACTACTGTATGGAATGGAGATTGCAGATTCCCCTGCCTAGCCCTGCGATGTATTAGTAATATGGGGAGATGCTGTGTTTGCCTTTGCCAGCTATTCCAGGTACAGGAGAACACCCCTGGCCAGCGAGTACAACTTTTAAACAGTTGCTGCTCCTCTGCTAACTCCGCCTCATGCCTCACACACTTGGAAGTGCCAGGACACATGCCAAACTCATTCTAAGGTGGAGATGGCTCAACAGAAGCTGCCGTTGGAGCCTTTAGCTGGAGATGTGGGTGGAAGAAACAGTTCCTCACACCCCAAGCATTGCAAGAAAGGGCCAGCCCCTGCTTCACTCTGGATTTAGTTTCCTCTTTTTTTGACAGCTGTACTAGAACATGAAGCAACGTGTTCTGGGAGTGCACAGCCCGCCTCCTCCGAGAGACCAACAGGAAACCTCACAGCTGATCATCGCTCGTGTAATACCAGCAACTTTCGTTTCTCAGGGCAATGGAATTCTTTGTGCAGCTGCTGCACTAGAGAGCAGCACTAACTTTACAAGGCCTGTGCTGGTGAGGCAGAACGCTTCCCCAGCTGCTCTCCCGCAAACCCAGCACCGACTATGCTCCAGGCCCAGCCACTAGCTCTCTGCCATACAGCTGGAAGGAGCCTTCTCACCTCGTCTCCTCTAGCTATTGCTACAGTGCCTTTTTAGTTGTTAGCATCTCCGGCTCTCGCCCCCACCAGTGGCTGCACTAACGCAGACCACTGACTTGTGCTTACAGTAAACGCGACATGGCGGATAGCGCATTGGGGCTGCTATTTCAAGCCTGACTAGCTCTCTCACCACAACAGGCGTGGGAGAAACAGCTAGCATAGGCCAGGCCAGGCCTGTGACGCTCATGGTGTATTGACCAAAGAATAGGGCTGGAGGCAGCTGGATTTTCTCAGCCTCCTGCACTTCTTCCGGAAGTACACAGGTTTTAATGAAAGAGAGGAGATTCACAGCCTTGTAACCCCACTGACTTTGGGGCAAGGCCACACAACCTGGCTAGTAGCTTCCCATCAGGAGCCTGCACAGTCCATTTTAGTCTGTCACTTGCCTTTGCACAGAAAACCATCACAAGACCTAAGTAGCACCCAAATCTTCAAAACAGGGCTTCCCCCCTACCGGGCAGGGTGAACATCCCCCTCCATTGTCTCATTAAGTCTCTCCACTTTTGAACATGTAACCCCCAAGCTAACAAGTGCAAGGCCTTCTGCACAGAGATCTAAACCCAAGGCGTCACCCTTGTGCTTGCAAAGTGCTTGTCACTTTCAGAGCACTTCCCCTCAGCTTCTTTTCCTGCTGCTTTGAAGTGACAATGTGCAAAGACTTTGAAGTGTAGGCAATCAGAGAGAGTTCTGGGGCCCCAGCATCCCAGCACACTCTGAGTCGGTGCCGCGGCACTTCGCTGGACAGAAAAGGATGGAAGGGCTGCAGCTTTGGCAGCATTAGGGTTTATCTCAGGGGCTTTACACCAAGGGTCGGATGCCATGGACGCATCCGTAGCAGCATGCTGGTCCCGAGGGTGGTGAGTGAAGGGGACCAGAAGTGCATACTCTGTTTCTATCTCTTCTGCTCCTCTCTGAGAGCCCTCTACCCATCTTCCCCAGTCTCCCATGCCGCACCCAGGTGCCAGCCCCACCTTACAGCAAGAGGAGTCATGGTATGCCAATTTCCTCTCCACCCTCCTCCACTGCTTGCCATCCCAGTGCGCAGCACCGTCCTCAGTGACAGGTTACCAGCCTGATGGAGAGCAATCTGGGGCAGCTTTCACTGTGCAAAGTGCAAGCCCTACAGCCCCCTCTGGCAGCACCTTGCTCCCTCTTACCACGTATTCATCAATGAACTGCCGCAGGTCCTTAAAGCCATGGTTTTCGGCAATGTTGTTTGGGTAGTACCCATACTTGTTGGCTACGCTGTAGGCTTGCAGGGCTCCTGGGCAAGTAAGCAGCAGGGCTGTGAGGTTCTTCAGACCATATTTTGCAGCAAAGTGAAGTAGCGTCGGCAGCTCTTCGTCCCTCTGATCTGAGAGAACAAAGGCTTTTAGAAATCAAGCTCCTCTCTGGCATCAACACACCCAGTGGGTGATGAATGCAGCGGCTGGTAAAGGGGGAGGCACACAAAAGCAGCACATTAAATAGCCCTGGAAGAGCTCCACCATGTCAGAATGGAGCGGAGCTCGGCTTGTAGGGCTGAGCCAGCCAGAGCTATCTAGGACATTCGGATGCCCAGTTCCCATTGGTTTTCCTGGGAGTTTAGCATCCAAATCCCTTAAGGCATTTCAAAGCTGCAACTTAGCCATGAAAACCTCAGCTTCAAAGACACTTAGATCTTCTCATGAAAAATGCTGCAGGAGGGCACACCTGCCTGGCACACTGGGGCACCGCTGGCACTGCATTTGGCCCCATCTCTAGATCAGCTGGAAGGGCAGGGAGAAGAGAGTGAAAATGGGAAAAGCTGTTCTCTGGTGAATGCATCAGCAACGTGAGGTAGGGGAGCACATCAGGTGTTGGGGGCGGGGTAGTGAACCCTCAAGAAACTAGATGGCAGAGTTAGCAACGAACAAGGCACATTCTCACTAAACAGTGGCAGACACATGACATCATGGTGAAGAAGCACGTGGCTAATTTCAGCCTGAGCAAAGTTTGTAAACGCGCCTCCCAGAGTGCCCGTGCATTTGCTGGTTCCATGCCAAGGAGCATGCTTTGCTCATGAATACTGGTGAAGCAGATGTGCACAGCCCATGTCAGGCACTGCCCAGGACAGAGGCTGAGGAAGGCTCCATCTGATCTGGCATGAGGGAAAAGGGAGCTGCCTGGTTTACAGGGGCTCTTTCTGGATATTCAAGGAGCAGCATTGTTCAGCCAACGCCGGCTGTGTGTCAACAAAGTGAGGATCAGGAGAGTAAACACAGAGGCAGGCAATACAGAAGAGGATAGGGGAAAATACTGCCAAAAAAGGGGTCCTGGGGTACTGGCCAAGATCCCCAAAAGCCATGTGCTAATCCTGGGGAATTCGGCAGCACTCTGACCACAACAACAAGGTACCATACCTGGAAAGGCTGCTCTGACTCAGGCATTTACAATCAAATCACCCACTATCAAACTGGGCCTGTTTTCAGAGACATTGCTGTGTCTCATTGCTGAGGCTGTAAGCGCTGTCCAGGCAGGTCCTAAGGCACATGGTCAAGGTGGTCTTCACTGCACTCATTACTTTTACAAAAACCGTTGGCCAAGACTTTCAGGAGTGACAAGTGATTTCGGGCCCTGGGCCTCCCAATTTACTCTAATTGTGAGCTCAAGGGGAACAAGGAAGTGAAAGTGCATAAGCTGTCACAATCACCTAGAATAACCAATGTTGATGGGAAAAGGTACAAAAAGGAGACAGAAGAATGAATTAGTCCAAACATAAAGGCCTCTTGATACAATTCAAGGACTGTGTTAAGAACATGCCTGGTAAACAAGAGGGAATGAGGACCAAAAATGAATAAACCAAAATGGGTATGTTGGATATTAGGCCTAACTGAGGGAGAAAATAATGAGGGGATGGGCTATTGCACCCGACACTCCCTTTTGGGGTCATTAAGAGACTTTGGGGAGAAAAATTGGCTACTGGAGCAAGTTTCACCATCATGGCTGCCACCTCCAACATACTGGGATCTGTTTTGTCCTAAGCTTGAGGGATGCATGACCAGACTGGGCCAGAGAGAGGGATCCAGATGCCATCACCCCCTACCAGCTCCATCTGAATGCCAACCACCCACCAGGGATGCAAGACTGTCTCTCGCCCCCCACCCCACTGGTGTGGTCTTTTCCTTCCTTGCCTTACCTCTTCTCTTTCTCATCTCCTTTTTCCTTTTGTCTAAGAACAGTCCAGCTTAGTCAGCCAAGACTGTATATTTTCCAACACTGCTGTAAGCCTGTCACCAGAAAGGCAGCTAAAGGCTACGCCCTAGACAGCCCAGTGCTGGAACAAGTTTGCCAGTCTCGCTGTGGCTGATCAGACCGTGTGCTTTGCTTGTGTTTTTCCAAGAGCGGGGCTGCAAGTGAGAGTCAACATCAGAGAGAAGCTGCATTTGCTCTCTTTGCTGCTCTTTCCTCTCCCCTGGTGTCTGTGTTTATCTCGACTTGTCTCCTAAGAAATGGGATCAGACTTTAACAAGCCCAGTCACAATGACAGCTCCAGTCCAGCTTAACTCATTTCTTTTCTTTCACCCCCAAAAGAACAGTTATTACCAAATACCAACTAAAAGACTGCGGGGGGGAAGGGGGGGAAAGGGGTGTCCTTCTAAAAACTCTCTCCAGCTAAAAGGAAAGGGAACAAGGGATGTTGTTAAAATGAAAGCCGTGTTTAATACCCTACGTTTCAAATACTATTAACTGTTTTTCATTCTTTTCTGTATCTTTCAATAAAGAGTTTAATGCGGGGTTGTTGGTTTTTTGCATTGCTGAGGTCTCTAGATACCAAACCCCAAACCTTGTTTAATGTTGGACAGTGACTGGGTTATGTTAATGCCTTTGTCTCTTTGGGCCCCTTTATTCCATCTAAATTAATACAACAGCACCCAGTTTAGCACCTTGAAAGGGAGCTCATTTTCAGAGAGCAGGGGCTCAATTTTCTTTTAAAGATGGCTCATGTTGGGTGCCCAACATCACTAGGCACTTTTGAAAATCTTGGCCATAGATTATTGTCCATACTGCCCCAGGCCTGCCAAGGTAATGGTTCTTTCCTCCATTCTTTATGTGTTAAAACCCCGTAGTTCCATTTTACATGGTGCTGCAGGCGACTCCTTTTACAGCCATTGATTACAGGCAGAGAGTTGTAACAAGGACGTTTTTTAAACACTTACTTGTTGTCATATCTTCTTCCTCCAGCTGGTTGATTCCAAACAGGTGCAAGCCACTTGCAGGAATGTTGTTCTTCAATGACTCAGTCAACAGTTTGTCCAGAGCTTCTATGTTATATGGTACTATTTTAAAGGCCTGAACACAAGCGAAAGGTAATTTAATCTTGTGGGCATTTTCAGGCCAGACATTCAATTCAGTTTGGATGTATAAAGTAGGTTAAAAACAAAAAACTAAGTCAAGAGAAGAGAATGCTAAACACTCAAAGACCAGAAGGGCCGAAGTTAAGGTCGTACGTGCAATTTTAACTGCTTCCTGATGCATATTCATGATACTGTATTTAGCTACATGATCAGTTGCTACTATTCTCAGTGACTGAGTATGCAGGTTCTAAAGCACAGTGAGTGAGCCTGGAATGCAAAGATTACTGTAAGTCGTTTCTTGAAACAGGAGCGAAAAATGAAGGAGTTACTTCACTTTTTGCGATACGCTCAACTAGCCTGGTCAGTTTCGCATGTTGCACAAGGCGTTTATGTTTAGTTTTCCAAATGATTTGTTATTTCCTGAAGACTTATTCCAGTTTCTGTAAAACCCAGTTTCTCAAGTTAACAAACTCTAAACTGGGGGGTTAAATTACTGCATTTTCCTTGGGCTGCCAATAGATCTAGGAGTTACCATAGCTCCTCAAAAGGAGAGAGCACACTCTGCTTTCTGCAGATGGGAAACATTAGGCCTAATTAATATTGACTGCGATAAGACAATTAGATTACATTTCTATCCTTCCAGCAAGCTCTTTCCTTCCGAGCGCTTTGGAAATCTTTTTTGCTCACCTCCTGCCCCAGAAAGGGCTGATTTCAAAAGTTGCCTTTTTTTCCATTGTCATTACCTGGCACATGAACTCCACTGGATTAGCTGCATTGGCCAACAAGTTGCCGATCTCTTCCATGTCAGTGTAGTAGCTGATGTTCGCTTCCCCCACCATCAAGTCACCTGAATATAGCCGCAGAGATGCTGCTCCAGATGTTAAGTCTTTCAAAGGAAAGGAAAACAATCCTCAGTAAGAACAGGCAATGAGCGTGAGCACCCAGAAGAAGCATTGACATTAGGAGGGGTTTCACTCCACTCCATCAGCATAAGCTTTTCAATTCGTGGGTGAATCTGGCATGTGTCAGTAGGGTTGCCAATTTTGGTTGGATGTATTCCTGGAGATTTCATCACGTGACATAATCTTTAATTAAAGATTCATCTTTAATTCCTATCTACCTCATGGAGCTGGAAGGGACCCTGAAAGGTCATTGAGTCCAGCCCCCTGCCTTCACTAGCAGGACCAAGTACTGATTTTGCCCCAGATCCCTAAGTGGCCCCCCTCAAGGACTGAACTTACAACCCTGGCTTTAGCAGGCCAATGCTCAAACCACTAAACTATCCCTCCCCCCTGACTTTTTTGGGGGGGGAAATTAAGATTTTTATTTTTCAACCAAAACCATTCATGACTTTGACATGAATTCACAAAATGTTTTGGTCAACATGAATTTGCATTTTGTGGTGAAAAAACTTTCAGATGAAAAATTTTGCCCAATTCTAATTATGACCTTTTCTCAAATGAAGCAATAGAGCCACTTGATTCAAGAAATCAAAATGAATGTGGATTAACTAACACTATATGGAAGCTACCACAAATTTATAAGATGCCTCGGAAACCCCACTGCTAAACTTTGGGCCAAAAATCTAAGTTTAGGTTTGTAATTTTCAGTTTGGTTGTTTTACAAACCCAGAACGAATAAACGGGTTTGCATGAATTAAAGAGCAAGCTACACTAATCAGTTTGTTAGAGACTTGTGTAACAAATTACACCTCTACCTCGATATAACGCTGTCCTCGGGAGCCAAAAAATCTTACCGCATTATAGGTGAAACCGCGTTATATTGAACTTGCTTTGATCTACCGGAATGCGCAGCCCCGACCCCCTCCCCTCCCGGAGCACTGCTTTACCGCATTATATCCGAATTCGTGTTGTATCGGGTAGCGTTATATCGAGGTAGAGGTGTATGTACCACAAATATATATTACATAATGATTATATATATTACTGGTAGGCAATAGAAAGATCTGTTTGCTTTTTGTATGTGTTTCGGGGGATGCAGCAGTTCAGATTGTGCTGATAAGAAAAGTGGTTTGCGTATCTTATCAGTAAAATTATTGGCCTATGCAGACAGCAAGGTGAAGAGGAGGGAGCTGGTAGCTTTGGAGTAAATCCGGTGCACACCCTCTCTCTCCCAGCAAGACAAGCTAATGTGTAAAAACCCAAAACCACAAAATCATACCAGTAAGAAGAATAAACAACTACTGTAAGACAAGAACAACTGGATGGAGTCAGTGGGGTTGAAAGCAGAGAATAGATGTGTTGGAAACCAGACAGAGAAAAGTAAGTTTTAGCAGGATAAGCACAAATGTATTATTTGAGGTTAGTTATTGTGATTTACATATGAAAAATTAGTGGTTTAGACTAGATAAGGACACAGATTAGGTAACTTGGTAAACTGAGTCTGCACAAAGTTAAGGAACAGGGAATAAAAGATAGAGACTAACCATAAGAAAGTGGAGAAGACACAGAGGAAGAAGAGTTGAACATAGCAGAGACCAGAGATTTTAAAAATCACTCTGGCCCCAAGGAAGGTAACATGATCATTTATTTTCTTGCCTTATCTGTTTTTGTGTGTATATGTAATTCCTAGGTGACAATAGCATTGTCTTAAAACGTACATAATCAAGGCTAAAATAAACTGTTTAAGCCTAAATTAAAGTGGATCTCATTTTTCATCCAGCAAGTTTCACTTTCGATATCCAGTGTCCCATGGGTTTGGCAAGCACTGTTGCATTTGTGTTTTTTACCCTTTTGAGGGATATTTAAATTCCCAACATAAAGAATGCTAACAAAAACTGCTTAAATGTCAAACTTTCCTAGTAGTTATATTTTGTGCCTATACTATCCAGCTGTGTCCTTTGAAGCCATTCCGTACAAAGAATGCCATTTCTGGCATTAATCTTTTTCTGATACCCTGGTGGCGGTGATAATATTTTGCACTTCTATAGGTTCATTCAGCTTCCATGTGCTTTACAAGCGATAACTGTTCTTCAAAACTCCCAATGAGGAGGGAAAGCGTTACAATCCTGACCTTACTGATTGGGGACACAAACGCACAGGGGACAAGGGACTCTACCAATCCCACACTAAGACACAGAGCTGGGAGGAAGTAGAAGTTTGTGATTTCCCTGCCTCTAGCTTTTTGTGTTCCAACCTCTAGATTGTTCCCATCTGCAACAGTTTAATTCCCAGCGGGAGAAGTTCTACCTACCAGGAGCCTGTACAGAGACAGTGTATTCATTTTCCATCTTGGCTGGCACACGCACAGATTGGGCATTCTCTGGAAAGAATTCAGCTTCTGTTTTCACTTGACAATCCAGTTTACATTTCATGATAATATAAAGTGTTGTCTGCACCTAGGAGTAAAGGCATCACAACATGTAGGTTCACAATATCCTGGAGCCGTTCTTCATTGCAACCCCCGCGCTGCTCTCCCCCCTGCTGAATTCAGCTCAGAGCAGTGGGGACACCTTTTCAGGGCTTCTAAACTCCACTTGGAAAAACTAATCCACTACAAGTGATTGCTTAGAAACTTCTTCCATGTCAGATTTCAGCATCACACACAGGGCTCTGTATCTAGGTTCTGTGGTGGCTGAATAAAGCTGAAGACAGTGGACTGGGGCAGGCTGTAAAACTGCTAGAAGTCCTGGTGCTTGCATCTGTGTTTAGGTGACAGGTTTTAATGCCTTGGGGCGAAATTATATGGTGAAAATATGAAATCGGTGCTTGTGGCACCCACTAGCCAGGATATGAAATATCATGAGCACACTAGATCGGTTTCATTAGCATCATAAATGGCTCCCTTAGGCTCAAGATCATGTGAAGGACAAGCCCTAAAACAAATATTGGAGCCTGTCTACATCGTGATCTATAATCCACAACTTCTAAGGCTTTGTCTACACTATCACTTTAGTCAGTAAAACTTCTGTTGGTCAGAGGTGTGAAAAACCACACACCCCTGACTGACAAAAGTTTAATCGACAAAAGCATGGGTGAGGACAGTGCTATGTCAGCAGGAGACGCTCTCCTGCTGACATAGACCACCGCCACCGCTCGTTGGGGGTGGTTTAATTATGCTGGCAGGAGAGCTCTCTCCCGCCGGCACAGAGTGGCTGCACGGACGACCTTACAGCAGCAGCACAGCTGTAAGGTAAGGTCTGTAGTGTAGACATCAGAAACTGGTTAACTCTCAGGGGAAGGGGCTATATTTTGCGTGTTGAAGAAGCACCTGGCACAACAGGGACCCAATCCCAGCTGCTTCTGCAATCTAAGTTATACGTAATTCCTTTGTGTTGCACAGATGAGGCAGTACCCAGAATGCCCAGTTTTGCTGTTCATGAATGTGATGCTTCTCAATTCCATCATAGCCTTGCACAGATTATAACCCTGTCAACAGCATCCTCCGCTCCGGGTTTAACCAGCAAGATCTCTTGTTACGAACATACACCAGCGCAAACAGAGCAGTTTTGCACATGGAGTTTGTGGACAGAGCTGGGATCTCTGCTACCTGCTTGTGCAGTTTCAGCTTCATAGCTTCTTACCCTGAAAGTGAGTTTTTCCCCGCTATTACTCCAAACAGCACAACCATCGTGATGTTATTGCTCATGCTCAGGAGAGGATCAAAGAAAGCAAATTGGAACAAATATACATTTACTTTTCAGACCAAAGAGGCGTATTATGACTTCCTCCGATTTTTGGTTACTTCTTGTATCTATTTGTACAGCACCTGTCCAGCGAAAGCTCTATTTGTAATCCAAAGTATTTCAGTGCCACAGAACTATGAACTCTGAGAGGGGAAGTTAAACCAAAAATCAATCTCTCTTACATCATGCTGTAACTCTCACTCAGCTTCGTCTCTGCTGAACTGTGAAGGGTAGTGAATTCCTGGCCCAGACTCTCAGGTGAGGGATCTTACTGCCAGCCCTGGAGAATAGTATCCTATTGTCTAATAAAACTCCCAGCCAATCTTAGTCTGCCAACACAGGGCATGGGCATCTAACATCTTATATGCTATAAAGTAAATATAGTGTTACTCTTTTCTCACATAGCCAAGACTTTAAAGTTCACCAGTGCCTTAAATGTAATCACTTAAGTGTTTTGTTACACTAACAGGTCATCTACTACAGTGATTGTAATCTACCAGTATTCTGTAGGTCTTTTCATGCTCACAGTCTCTTATGCAGTACACCAGGAGCTCTCAACCATGCCAGTGGGATAGAGCCTATTAAAAGCAGAGGATTCAGCCATTTCTAGGTACCAAAGATGACAGAGAAAGCCTACCTCAGCTTCTGATTTCCCCCTCAGTCTTAGATCATCTATGATTGTATCATGCCATGAGTTCAAGATTCCTAGACATTGCCGGTGACATCTCGGACAACGCACTTATCCTCATTTTAAACACGAGGAAACAAAGGCAGAGGTGAGTTACCTACAGCACATGTTGTTGCGAGGCTTAATTCATGAAGGCCTGTTATCACCATGTGGAAGGCACTAGAAATGGATAAAGCTTTATAGCATGTATAGTGCTGGTAACACATGAGGCTATGATGTAACCTGGAAATGCCCTGAGATGATGGATTGCCCAGTAAATGCACAGGGATGGTAGCAGCATCGTTCCCCTGGACGTGGCACTTACAGCTGTCCAGGAAGTTCCAAACATACCCCAGGTTTCTTTTTTCAAGTTGCTCAGCCCCACAAGATCTTGAGGCTGCCCAGAGCTCAGCCAGCTTCCCAGTTAACTTTGCTCTGTGTGGTGAGGTTGTCTCCACGTCAGTCATACCGAGGAGAGCACACAAAGATCTTAGGACTCAGTCACAGGCGAGGATGTTTCACAAAACACAATCAGCTATTTCCTTTGAATTTATTCCCACCCCCGTTCCATCCCACTAAATAATGCTTCTGCCACACAGGCACCACTCCAGTTCAACAGCAGCATTTGTTCTCCTATGTTCCAGCCAGCGTGTTCAGATGCCACCACACACAGCCTTGTGCTACAGGTAGGTAAAGCTTAGAACTCCATTAGAAGCTCAAATTCAGTTACACATAGTTACCAGTAGGGGTCATGGCTGCTGCAGTTAAACAAACCCTTGTCCCAGCCACTGGAGTTGCGAGTTTCACCTCTGTCACTCTCAGCACCCGCAGATCTGGAAACAAAGGCCTAAGAGCAAGTTTCAGACCCACCATCCTCTCCACCCCTCCCTGAACATGGGAGCATATTTTGCTACTGTGCATCTGAGCCAGAAATGCCCAGTATGGTAAAGCCATTTTAGATGAGGTGACAACAATACTGCCAACCCCTAGCATCCAAAAATCAAGAGTCAGGTGCAAAAATATCGTGAATAGCTTAAAAATTCTTGTTAAACAGATTTTGGATTCTCAGTTGCCTACTAATCTGCGCTTTTATGGCTCATGTTTTCAAGTTTCTCTGCAACCATGAAGCCTAGAAACTCTAAATAAAAGCTGAGTGTCCCATGGTCACATGACTCCAGGAGCTGGGGCTTTAAAACAGACTCCAAATATGGAGAAACTATACAAGTCTGGGATTTGGCCACACCGTGACAAGTATGGAAACATATCGAGTTGCTGCCCTTGTTTCATTGCACTAAAAGGCTAAGCTGGTGCTTTTTCCACAATGCATGAAAAGGAAATAATGTAAACTGGTGGTCACATTGCAACACAGCAGTGCTGCTTAGCTGTTGGGTTTTTCAAGTCTCCTGTAACAGTCAGTACTTCAAGTTGTATGGACATCAGATCTCAAACTGAGCAGTATCAGGCTGGGTCAGACCAGAACATATATCCCCAGATACGGAGGGAAGTGAAGTTGGTGCTCCATTAGGTGGTGCTCTTGTGTCAGAGTTTGCTGGGGCATATGTACAGTACTCTTCATTTGGGGAGAGAGGCCGGGGAGATGAGCTGTGCTGACAGAGATGCTGTCTTTCAGAAGAGACAGGAAACTGATCCAGATAATTTGCAGGAAGTGCCTTGGGACCCTTACAAATTGGTGCGTTAACCCCAGAACCTGAATACAGTCCACCACGACTAATTACATCCCACCAACCTGAATAAGCCCATAAAAGCTTGAGCCTCTTCCACAACCTTCAGGTTGGGTGGCTACCCTGTTTAAGTCTTCATCAGAGGCATTACAGTGCAGCCAGGACAACCGTAGGACACTGAGTGTCACAGTATTGCTCCTGGGCTGCGGGAAGGAATCTCAGGAGATGGAGACACTGAGGGTGGGGCTGAAGGGAAAGAACTGAGCTTGGGTCTCCAGCATGGCAATGCAGAGCACTAGCCACTAGTGCACAGTACAATCCCATGTTGAGAACTCTAGAGGAAATGGACATACTGTACCCCACAGCGTATGCGGTCAGGCTGCACCACCAGGTCTCCCAGGGTGCTCTTGGATGTCCCGTGCTGCTGACTCATTGCAAGTTTCCTGGAGTAAACTGGGTTTCTCTCGTCTTCTGCCTCTGTATCAGTCACAGAATCGCAGCCAGAGTCTAAACAAAGCAGACAGAATCCCGTTAGGTCATTCTCATGCACCAAAAATACATGGATGCATGGAGAAACACACAAACACAAAGTATTCTAAAAGAGAACCTGCTGAAATTCTTAAACAAGAACTCAGAAAAGGAGATCTAGTTGAAGAAAGGGGAATCAACCAAGTTTCCTCATTTATTCCTGTAACGGGACATCTGGGGTGGTTTGCATTTGGTCACAGCGACATACAGCTCCACAGAACTGCTGTAGTGGCACTGAATATGCTTATTCAACAGCCCCATTCTATGAAAATGAGACAGTTACAGGAATTTGGTCATCAGCTGGGCTGATTCTAACAGTGTACACTCCTCTCCCAAAGCAATTAAAGGATAATTGATCCCCCTTAGTGCCAATGATGAGCCTGCTTTTGAGGGCCTACTTGTATTGCTCACCACAGAGTTATATCAGACTATTGGATCCACCCTTTCTACTCCAACCCAATCAGTCTCTGTCAGGGTTCCCCCCCCCCACTCTGAACTCTGGGGTACAGATGTGGGGACCCACATGGAGACCCCTAAGCTTATATTCTACCAGCTTAGGTTAAAAACTTCCCCAAGGCACGAATTCCTTTCCTTGTCCTTGGACGGTATTGCTGACACCAACAAGTGATTTACACAAAAATTCAGGGGATGGTCACTTGGAATCCCTATCCCCCCAAAATATCCCCCCAAGCTCCTTCACCACCTTTCCTGGGGAGGCTTGAGAATAATATACCAACTAATTGCCTTAGCAATGTGAGTACAGACCAGACCCTTTATCTTTACAACACTAAAATCAATCAGGTTCTTAAAAGAAGAACTTTATTATAAAGAAAAAAGTAAAAGAATCACACCTGCAAAATCAGGATGGAAGGTAACTTTACAGGGTAATAAAAATATTTAAAACACAGAGGACTCCCCTCTGGACTCAGCTTCACAGTTACAAAAACAGGAATAAAACTACCTTTGTAGTTGCGGGGGTTCGGGCAGAGCTGAAGGAACTCTGCATGTTTTTGTTAGCAGCTGTGAGAACTGGAGGGTGCTGCACCTGTCTTGAAGGTACTAAGGGCAATCTCCAAGAACCACAAGCTGTCACAGATTGCCTCAGCACCAGGAAGATTGGATGAGATGAGATTAGACAGGATTTCAAAGACCTAGATGAGCACAATAAAATGTGGACAATCAGCACATCGTCCATAAAAGAAACAACAATTCAGGCCTCTCTAGTTTATTAGAATTGTATGATCACAGCTACAAAGCTGGGAGGGGCTACAAGTGCTTTGGAGGATAGAATTAAAATTCAAAATGATCAAGATAAACTGGAGAAATGGTCTCAAGTAAATAGGATGAAATTCAATAAGGAGAAATGCAAAGTACTCAACTTAGAAAGGACAATCAGTTGCATAAATGCAAAATGGGAAATGACTGCCTAGGAAGGAGTACTGCAGAAAGGGATCTGGGGGTCATAGTAGATCACAAGCTAAATATGAGTCAACAGTGTAACAATGTTGGGAAAAAAAGTAAACATCACTCTGGGATGTATTAGCAGGAGTGTTGTAAGCAAGACACAAGAAGTAATTCTTCCTCTCTACTGTGCGCTAATTAGGCCTCAATCTGGAGTATTGTGTCCAGTTTTGGGCGCCACATTCAGGAAAGATGTGGACAAACTGAAGAAATCCAGAGAAGTGCAACAAAAATGACAAAAGGTCTAGAACAGTGGTTCTCAGGATCCGGGGCCCCCTGGGGGGCCACAAGGAGGTTTCAGGGGGTCCATCAAGCACGGCTGGCATTAGATTTGCTGGGGCCCAGGGCAGAAAGCCGAAGCCCCACCTCATGGGGTTAAGCCTGGGGCCCCGAGCCCTGCCACCCCAGGCTGAAACTGACTTAGCTTCATGGGGCCTCCTGTGGCATGGGGCCCCAGACAGTTGTCCTGCTTGTTACCCCTTAACACTGGTCCTGGCTTTTATATGCAGAAAAACAGTTGTTATGGCACAAGTGGGCCGTGGAGTTTTTATAGCATGTTGTGGGGAGGCCTCAGAAAGAAAAAGGTTGAGAACCCCTGGTCTAGAAAACATGAACTATTAGGGAAGATTGAAAAAAAATTGGTTTGTTTAGTCTGGAAAAGTGAAGACTGTGGCGGGGGTGGGGGGGGAGGCGGATAACAGTTTTCAAGTACATAAAAGGTTGTTACAAGGAAGAGGGAGAAAAATTGTTCTCCTTAACCTCTACAGATAGGACAAGAAACAATGGGCTTAAATTGCAGGAAGGGAGGTTTAGACTGGACATTAGGAAAAACTTCCTGTCTGGGTGGTTAAGTGCTGATATAAATTGCCAAGGGAGGTTGTGGAATCTCCATCATTGGGGATTTTTAAGAGCAGGTTAGACAAACACCTGTCAGGAATGGTCTAGCTAATACTTAATCCTGCCATGAGTGCAGGGGACTGGCCTAGATGACCTCGTGAGGTCTCTTCCAGCCCTATGATTCTATGAAAACAGTGGTCAAGGAGAGCCATCTAACAATATATTTGGATTTGTTAAAGCTTCTGAATGGTTTGATCTTGTAGGGCATTTCCTCATAGTCCTAGTCCTGTCGCCTGACTGGAGGCTATGGAAACAGAGCTATTAGGTAGAGTGAAAACAGAGCGAGCTATGTTAATCAGTTACTCGATTAACTGCTGATGGAGCAGCCAGCTGGGGGAACTTTGGATATGAATTATTCAACTGCTCTTTCATTCAGAAAACTTTGACCCTTGCCTTACTAACTTCCCCTACAAGCAATTGAGCAACACTGAGGGGGCTATATTGAGAGACTGAGTTCCCCCTTCACTGATACCTGAACATGCATGCACCAGAGCACAGTCCACTTTACTATTCCTGGCAGTACAAAGACCCAAAGGGACAGGCAGAGTTGGCCTCATTATACCATCTAGGCACCTGAAGAGTGACCCAACCCTCTCTATGCCACCATCTATATTTGCAAAATGGGTATAATTATAAGTGAAAACATCCAGATAAGAGAGACCACAACTCGGAGGGTCTGATCCCTTGATCAGTAAGGTAATACCTGACTTGAGCTTCCACTGTCAGTAATTATTGTATTCAACAACTCACAGGTAAAACACTAATCTCTAACTTGGTAGGGAAGGACCCTTTCTGCTCCCCTTCAAATAAACTACCCCAAAACCAGGCCTGACTACTTCTGAAGTACCCACGAGAACAGCAGTCAGGCAAGGAACTATGGTCCTACAAACCCCACTGCATTTCCTTTTGAAGAATGGACATCCAGGCAGTGCTAGTAGCTGAATGTCTCAGACAGCAACTCCATGCAGTGTCTCTCCCATCCCAGCCAAGCCCTCCCCCTCAGTTTCACAGCCAGCTGGGCTGTGTGATTTCAGTGTGCATCTGTAGCCCCCAGTCAAAAACCCGAGAAAAACTTGGTCTGGCCACCTGCTATGCTAACTGTTTACTAGAAATATAAGCCAATGGGAAGCATTGAGTTATTTTAATAAACTGAATATTGTTACGCACAGAACATACATCCGGTCTGTCATCCATTTCCTCCTGTCTTCACTGATTTTATCTGCATGGAGCTGACAGCTGTGGTTTCTTACTTAGAATTTAGGCATGTGAGCTGACTGAAAGAGTCTGCAACTTGTCCAGAGTACTTCAGCCTCTGGATATTAATACAATTCACAGGACGTAGCATTAACCAGCCCGACAGGCTGAGTAATTAATTCGCTATGCTTGCGCCCTTATGGGTGATCTTTGGACACATTTTTCTCCATACACTGCTTCTTTCCCAGCTGAGGTAGCATGATTAAAGAACAGCCAAATTTAGTGTCAATACACCAAGGATGAGTGTGAAAGCCTACATGTGGACCAGCACCTCCACTTGGACACTGAGTTCAGATCTAACTGGGCAAACTCAGCTGTATTTGCCAGAAAACTTGGTAAAATCCTAGAAGTGACAAGCAACAGAGGGTCCTGTGGCACCTTTGAGACTAACAGAAGTACTGG